AGGGTGAGTACTCTACACTACCCAAAAACACACAATCAATGTAGAGCCTCACCTCCAGAACATTTTCAATACATTAAACAAACACAATCACAAGCAACATTATCACACAGCTCATGTCAATTTAACACCGATGCACTCACGACATCGGCATTATTTCACATTCATAAGTACAATACATAAATCCATGTATACGCACTCTAGCAACACTCCCTGTGGCACTGTGATCATAGATTTCACACCATGAATGGTCGCCAATTACCCCCGCCTCATGGATACCATGTGGGCAGTCACGGGTCGCTCAACAAAGATAGTGGGTAGAGGTCTAGTTAAGAAGAAAGTGTGTGGCCCGTGGTGCACCCATTCCGCAGTCAGTGTCACCACCACTCCCTCTTCCCCAAGGTATTTCTATCGTCCTCATCTTTCACATCCTCAGTGTATCGCTGAACCATTCACAGCACATTACAACGGCGCTAATACTCCTCATTCACATACATTTCATTCACACCCGCAATATCCATGCTTGCACATAGCACACAGCCTATATTCAATTCACAGCATACAACACACAGCCTACAATTATCATTTATATTACACGGCCCTTGGGCACACATTTTCACAATATTCATTCAAATATACGGCACAAGTGCCCATACTCATTCTATCACACAACATTTACATATAATCCAAATCCATCAATTTTGGGTCAAGACACATAATGTTCACATATCACGGTACATGACCCACATTACATTTCTCAGCAATTTCCTACCCACTAACTCAGCCACAACACAATATTCAGCAGAATATCCACAATTCATGCACAAAAGAGTAAGATATAGTCCCCCCTTACCTTGGATTGAAGACCCACACTCGGATTCGACCACGGATGTGCTCTTTACACAGATTGCGGCCTAAACACATGGAAGAATTCCATGAGAACCCAAGGAAACCACAAAAACAGGGAATGTGGTTGAAAAACGGAAACCCTAATCATTAAAACTCACCTCCAAGCATTTCCTACACGGATTCAACCTTCAATCGAGCTCCCGAACAGCTTTGGAGACAATTAATCGGTGGAATAAGGCTTTGAAAAAGAGAGGATCAAAGGAATTTTGAAGGGAGAGGGAGAAATAATCCTTCCTGAACCCTAACTCCTTTTAAATCCTTTTCTGGTCGTGACACTCTCGCTACAACGACAGTTTGGGGTGCATTTCTGGGTACAGTCTCGCTGTAGCGAGACTCTGCAGAAACCAGGGTGCAGTTTCGTCTGATATTTTCGCTGCAGCGAGGGGTCTCTCGCTGCAGCAAGAAGGCGACAATTTCAGTCCTTCTTTCCAGGACCCTCTCACTATAACGAGAATCCTCTCGCTGCAGCGAGAACAGCCCATAATTAAATCTTGCACTTAGGCACTTAGTTCATTTTAGTCCTATCCAGACATGCATACACACAATATACACATCTATATACTTAATACATATAAATATCATTATTAAGTAAGTCAACACACACATATATGCATTTAGATTTATATAAATACAATGATTAATATTACAAAAATTTGGGGCGTTATATATTTGATATTGTGATGTAATTGTGGATTTGGATCTTGAGATTTTAATTGAATTGAGTATATGATTCTATTCTTAATGCAGTTGTGAGCTAATCCTTCATTCAATTGAACTTAGAGAAATCTTCATTAATGAAAATTGAGTTTATTTCTTAGATTTGAATCATATGCCTAGGTTATTGAGATCTTAGGAATAAGTATCATGATCTAGTAATCCTATAATTTCTATAACTTAATGCAGTATTTGATTAAATTTCACCTAAGAAATTAGGAAAGTTTAATTAGGTATTAGGATCAATGAGGCAAGGAATTGTCCTTTGGTTAAAGAAGTGAAATTGATTATTAATCAATTAAAATTCTCAAGAGTTCAGAACATGATTATATTGCAATTGAAAATTTGGTGAAGTGATTCCTAACTATTTTTCATATAGTATTTTTAATACAAAATTCATACTCTGTTTTTACAGCAACTTTATTACCTTTTATTGTTTTTAATTCTTACTTTTACATGTTACAAATCTTCCTAACGAATTGTGTGACTCAACTAATTATTAAATTGTGAAGTAATAATTGAAAATGAGATCCTTGTGGACAATACTTGGGGCTCATATTGATTGCCAAATTTTATTACTTGTTACAACTACCTTCTTCAGTATAATTTTGTAAAAACTAACTTTTAATTTCTTTATTGTATTCTGCATCTATTTATTCTTTTATCCATTTTTTTTATCTATTTTAAAAGGTTCTTCTTTTGTTATAGTATTTAATATTTGTGCTGTAGTAGGATTATAATTTTCTTTACTATTATTATCTTGTAAAATAAGATTATAAACTTGTATTGATATCTCTTATTTAGAAGTATTGTCTATTTTTCTTAAATCTAAATTTATCATAGAATTATCTATTGAGTGTCTTAAAGGCTCTTTTATTACTTGGGGATTGTAAATCTTTATTAATGAAGACCTGTTTATTTTTAATCATATTTTTTGACCAGTTTCTTCTATAATTTCTCTTATATCAATATTATATATCTTTTTAGATTCTTTATTTTCTTCTAAAATCTATTTTTCTGGTATGCTTAATTCTTCATGTCTAAGTTTTCTAGGTACTTGAACCATACTTTTTTTTTTTTCTAAATTAACCTATATTACTATTGTTTCATGATTAGGAGTTTCTCTTCTTGCTTTAAATCCATAATTTACTTTTGTAATTTTGTAATATACTCTATATATCAAGTGAAACGAATCAAATGAATTATTTACAATATTGTCTGGTAATTTTATAAATATTCTTATAGCTTTAGCAATATTTTCATTGTTTAAGTTCATAGAAAAAATTAGTGTAACAGTTAAAGAAAGCAGGACCATCTTGTAAATTGGTTTCTAATGCTGCTATTATTGAATCTTTTATTTTTAAAAGTTTCATATCTCTTAATAATATTAGCACAGGAAGATTACTCTTATCCTATAATTGGGTTTTACTGCTAGTTAGATTAATCCTAAATGAATAAAATTAAATCCGTTTTTATGTGTTTTTAAAGTAATTGATCTTCTAATAATTGAATATCTTTTTTACTTTGTGTTTCTAGATATAAATATTTTATTTTGTGTATTTTTTCAATATTGTTGTTAAAAGACCAAAATGATCTTTGTCGATAAACATCTTTTTCTTTTATAACAGGGATTGACCAATTATGTAAAGATTTTTTGATATCATTTATTGTAATTTGTTGTGGAGCTATACCAGATATTGAGGATCCATCCTCATTCATTTCTCTCTTTGCTACATGAGTATCTCATCCTAAGTATAACTTACTCATAGTTCTTAATAGATTTTTTATTCTTAAAATACTACCTTTTATACAACAGGAGCATCCTAACTGACCAACGGTTTCATTACCATCTCCTAGACTTATTACCGGGACTACTATCCAAACTTACCAACGTTTAAACAGCTCTCACTGCTACGCTCAGATTTATTTTAAAACTGTAAATCTATTTTGAACTTAAAGCTTGTAAAACTTAAAACTAATATACTCTCCTCTTTTCCTTCAAAAATCAAAACCTATTAAGGCTTGCTATTTACAGTGCCCAGTAGTTTTATTAACAATAAATTTAAATGTTAGAAAATACTAATAATTTATTCCACAAAATAAGGTGTCAAATATCAAAATCAAAATATTAAGTAAAATAAAGTTAGAATGCAACTTCTATAAATTATTTAAAACTAACTATATGGATTATGGACGGATTAAAGATGTTCACTCCTTTTTTTTGGAGAATTTAGCAGCTTTATCAACTTGCACTCGCTTGGATTCGGAGTTTATTGTATTACAGAGTCATTTTGATTTAGAAAACAAGCATTAAATAACATAGACTAGTTTTTAAGAACATTTAACTTAATTATAAAATACATTCCTTTTCTAAAAATGTTTAAATAAAATCGTTATTTCTTCTTATTTAAAAAATTATACGTTCCATGGTTAATATTTTGTTTGTTAAGAAATGAATTAATTGGGTAGAGTTTGCCCAAATGAAAAAGGAGCTGAAAATAAAAACTGACATTGCTTCACTCATTTCTTGGATAGTGGACAGAACGTGTGAAACCCAACTTTTTATTTTCTTTTCCTCTCACTGATATGATTTTAGAGTGAAAACGAAAGACCAACTTTGCATTTACAGGATTGCCCCTCTCTTCTATCTCACACGTTGGTCTGTTAAGGACACGTTTATTCTTAAAACTATTTTTTAATATTTTTCACTGATTTTTTATATTTTTTTTCTCTTAATATCTAGACAAAGTATAAGATATTAAATTCATTTTAATATAAACAAACTTTGTAGTCGAGGCGAACAATTATGATTGAACTTTTTAATGTTTTTTCCTTTTTTTATCTCTCCATCTCTTCAGGTAATTTACAATTATTTCGAATAATGTATTATTAATTTATATCTATCTCTTAAATGTTGTTCATTGGCGACTCTAATAGAGACCCAACTTCATATATTTTGACATTTTTATTAGTCTCATGGCTGTTCGTACGTGCGAAAAGTAATTTGATATTTTACTTCCCGAAAGATTGTGTTGATACTCAATTTAATGTAAAAAATGTTCAATGGCTTGTAAAAATATTTAAAAAATGCTTAAAATTACGTTTTCAAGCGAGGTTAGAGATTTTTTTCATTTAAACATATTTCAATTTGTTTCTAATAAATCTGTCGATGAAACATTCTGTATAATATAATAAATTGGATAAGACTCTAATATTTTTAAGAGATAAAGAATTTTATAATTAAGTTTAAACATTTACAAAATTTAAAATATTTTAATTTTTTAATAAATAATTATTATTAATAATAATTATTTAGAGACAATCGTAATATTTTTTTATTAAAAAATGGGAAAACTAATTACACTGTGTGTAATAAATGTTTCTATTTTGAGATCGGGAACGTTTACGATTTTATTTCGTGTCCTTTCCGGTTTCTGTTCCGAGTCTGCAGGTGGAAGTAGCAAGTTAGTGCGCGCGCTTGCAAGTTGAAGGCTTAGGGTAGTGGCACGAACTTGCAAGTTGCAAGGCACAAATCTCAATTTCGGATATGGTGAGAAAACATGGATGGCAATTACCTGCTCACACTTTTCAGGTTTACCTTTTTGCCCTTTCCTCTTCCATTTCTTACCTCTCTTTTGTTAGGGTTTGCTGGAACCAGTGATTCATTTTTATCTACACGCATATTCTCCTATCACATGTTTTCATTGCTTATGTAATCGTTTGATTTTTACACTCTTGTTTTTTTATTTTTGTTATTTATATTTCCCATGATTAACGCTTAACTTAGCTTCTGGCTTTGAAATGTTTACTTTGAGTAGTTGAGTAATGCTTCAAGTTTTAAATATCACTGGACTTGGGCGTGTTTGATTATGTTTTCTATATTTTCTCCCCCTTTTCTTATGAAGGTTCAATTAACCTTTTTTTTTTTTTTTTAAATAGAGCTAGAGAAAATATTGTTTGGGTAAAATTATTTCAAACATTTTTGGAAACTAAAAAATATGAAAGTTATTTGGAATGACAAGAATCGGGAACTTGTCTCTCCTGAGAGATAGTAATGCATTATACTTTTATATCATTTTGGCTGGGCTTTTTAGGAGCGGTCTTCCACTTTCTGCAATTCTCAATGTCACCAGCTGCCTACTTTGAACACTTATACTATTGACTATGGGACTTTAGGAGATAAAATGAAGTTTTGAATAACATTATTATTGGCAATGGAAGTTTACTCCGAAATCTTGTGAGGAAGAAAATCGGCATTAAGTTTGAGTGGTCTGTTTGTCTAAAACGCCTTGGCTATTTAAACTTGTAGCCATCTTGCTTATATCTTTAATTTGTTGTTAACCCACCGATGTGGGACCTTTATTATCTAACATCTCCTAAAGTTCAAAAGTTGATAATAAAGTGTCCAAAACCAGCCACCAGTGATATAGAGAGGAATAACTATTTCTAGGGAGCTTGCTTACATTAATGCATTCAGCAAGTGTAGCACAATTAATGTATTAGGAGAGAGGGGTGTAATTTTTCAAAATATAAGAGAAAGCAATGTAGTTTGAGCATCTCTAAAAGGGAGTGGAGTGTAATTTATCCTAATGAAAAATGCAACAACATACTCTTTTTAACACTCCTAACTATTGGCTAAAATTTATTGAAAACTATAAAAGTATGAGAGAAAAACATTAAATTAGGAGTGAGAAGGAGGGAAGCCCACATGATTTTTGTAGTTTTCAATAAATTTTAACCCATAAAGGTGTGTTAAAAAGAGTGTGTTGTTAGAATTCCTCTATCCTCATATGTAAAATAACTGGTTAATATTTCTAGACTACATGATAACATGACTCAAGTACTATTTAAATGAGAAAAGTAAATGTGTTCCTTACATCAATAAAATATATCCGATTGCTATTTTTTCTATGTTCTTATTGATTTATATAATGTATATTTTGATTACATTGACTTGTATTTTATCAGTTGCAGGAATGTCTACTGATTTTTCTAAAATTTGTTGGTTCTTGCATGAATAGGTTGTTGCGATCACTGTATTCTGCTTATTGGTGATTGCTTTCTATGCTTTCCTTGCTCCCTTTATTGGAGGTCATATATGGGAGTACACTTTTATTGGTGTTTACTCTCCTGTGGTATGTAAATTGCCTTTTTATCGTCCCACCTCATCTCTTATATATTATTTACTTACCTACAAGAAGCAGGGTTTATGTTGTGTCTCATTCTTATGGTATTGCAGGCACTCATTGTATTCATTCTTTACGTCAGATGTACAGCAATTAACCCTGCAGATCCAGGCATTATGTCTAAATTTGATCCTAGAGTGGGAAATAAGTTCAATTCTGCTCATGGTTTATCGGGGAAGCATCAAGCTTCTGAACATGATGGGATTGCTACTGGAGAGCAATCTTCTCTGTCATCTGCTGCATCCAAACGGTCTATGACAAATATGAGCAAGAAAAGCTCAGTGGAAGATCTTGACAGAGTGGATAATTCAAGGAAACAGCATAACCAAAACTGTTGTATAATTGGAGGAATTTTCTGCGTACTATTTTCACATGAAGATTGCAGGAAACAGGAAACAACAGCTGATGAGCAGGGTGGCGGTGAAGATGCTCTGTTCTGTACTCTTTGCAATGCTGAGGTATTACATTGTGATTTGTGACTCTGACACATTGCATTATGTATTTCAATTTTGGTTTTTTCTGTTCCTAAATTTTTTGGGCTGTAAGTGATATCTTTACATTTGATTTTGTCCCTGAATTGTTATTAATTGCATATACTAATGTCATAAAATAATAAATCGTCTGTACATTAAGATGCCATGATTTGATTGATGCTGTGATTTGTTGATATAAACTGAGTCTGAGTAAACATTAAGGTGATATTAAATAATTTTCATGAAAAAATGTATTTATGGACGTATCTTATTGTCTTCAAGAATGGGGCTTGGTTTGCAGGAATTTTTTGCTGGAAGAGTTATGGTTTTGATGAATTTAGTAATTTTGTATATTTCACAATTTTTATTCCCTGTGTTGCAGGTGCGCAAGTTCAGCAAGCATTGTAGAAGTTGTGATAAGTGTGTTGATGGCTTTGATCACCATTGTCGGGTATGATTGGGTGTGCTGGCTGACAGCATACATCTTGGAGTATTATTAAATTTTAGTATAACATTTCCATCGTTTCTTTTCAACTTTGAGCTTCACTTGATACCATCATATTGCTGCAGTGGCTTAACAATTGTGTGGGTCACAAAAATTACAGTTCTTTTATTGCTCTCATGGCCTTCAGTCTTGCATGGGTATGTAATTGGTCCACACAAATAATTTATTATTTACAAGCAATGATTTGTTTCGGTTACTAATAATTCCTTTTGTACATTTTTCTTGTGTATTTCAGCTTGTTATTGAAGCTGGAGTGGGTGTTGCTGTTCTGGTGCGTTTCTTTGTTAACAAGAGAGGAATGGAATCTGAAATCGTTGATAGGCTTGGAAATGGATTCTCTCGCCCCCCATTTGCAGCAGTTGTGGTATATCTTTTATTTATGTTTTATATTAAATTTAACATATGGCAAATGGTCATTATTAAGTACATTTAAAAATTTGTTATGTTTCTTCGCTCAATGTGTAGGTTGTATGTACTGCAGTTTCTATCTTGGCTTGTGTGCCTCTGGGTGAGCTTTTCTTTTTCCACATGATACTAATCAGGAAGGTCAGTTATTCAGTAGCTGAGAATCTGAGGTTGTTTTTCTTTTCTTTTTTCTTCCCCCATCCCCTTCCTCTGTACTGGTTCTGTGCTACTTGGCTAATATAATTTAATTGAGGGAACTTTATGTAATGAATGTTAAGATGCAGATGGTGGAGTTTTGGAAAATTTATCTAGAACTAGAAGAGCAATTTTCAAATGAGTTTCTATTCATAACCCCTCCCCCCCAACCCCCACGCACGCACACATGCATGCAATTAAAATCCAATTACTTGGAAAAGAATAACAGTTTGGTCTGCAAAAAAAAAAAGTGATACTATGACAAGGGTTTTTTGTTTAGATTTTTTTTTAATTTAAAAAATTATTTTTCTTTAAAAAGAAAATAAGTGGTCCCTTAATTAAAGGCTTATTAGTAACAGAAGACTCATATGGTTGCTTTTTACTAGGATAACAGGAAAAATATATTTGATTTAGAGAAATTAAGATACAAAGACAGATGAGGGGAAAACATCCTCCTAAACAAAACAGCTGTGCAAAACTAAATGAAAAACAGGGACATCTGAACTAGAAAAGAATTTCTCATGTTTTGTTGCTGAAACATTTTTGTGAATTATGCTTGGGGTGTTTGCTGCCACCATGAGATTTATATAGAAACACTTCATAAATTGTTTTTAGCTTTTGGCCTTAATTTTAGCTATTTCACACATTAGAGTGGTGCTCTCATCTTCCCTCCTTTCTTTGTATTGGATCAGGGCATCACAACCTATGAATATGTTGTGGCAATGAGAGCCATGAGTGAAGCACCTGCTGGGGCATCTGTGGATGAGGATTTGCCAAATGTACTTTACTCTCCAACAGGCTCAGCAACAACTGGATTGAGTGGAGGAAGTTCTCTTGGTTTGCAATATAAAGGGGCATGGTGTACCCCTCCTAGGGTGTTTGTGGATTATCAGGTAATTGGATTTATATTTGTTGTCATATGAATAGTTATTGATTGAATTAAAAATAAGTTATGCTACTATTTTAACTAGCCAGAGATGCTTGTTGGCTTGTTGTTTGATATCACAAATTTGTCGTCAGGTAACTTTAGCAAACAACTCTTTGATAATAGTCATTGTCAGAAGTTTTTTTATTTAATTTAAATCTATTTTATGGCATATTGGTACAGAAGTTAAGTCCCTTGCAACTTGCAAGGAGCTTTTAGTTATGTCATTGGGATCATCCTTCTTGACTCTTAGACTCTGTTTGGATTGGGTGTGAAATAGAGAGAGGAAAAATAGAAGGGAAAGAAATAAGAGGGTACGAAATAGATATTTAAAATAGTGAAAGCAAGGCTTTTGTAATTATTTGTAAAATAGGAATCAAAAGTGGAAAATGTTTTCTCAAATCAAATAGGCCTTAATATAAGCTTTTGAGCATTACAATCATGCCCGTGTTTTGAATTAAACTTTCAGGATTTCCTTCACAGAAGGATTATATTGCTTGTGAGCTTGTCTCTTTGCATCATTTTCATGAGACAAGATTTCCATAAATTGCTTATCATACTATCATGAAAAGGCAGCATGGCAATCATATGTTAAATATTAACAGTTGCCATATTATGACTTAACTCTCTATAAAAGGTTTATAAATTTATTGTCAAAAGCTTCCATCAGTCCAAAGCAATGAATTAAGTAACTTTGGTAGTCCACTCCCTGTAGGAAACCAAATCACTATTGTTCAAGTAATAATTTACAAATGGAATTCCCATTGGTGTGCCTTATTAGTGATTTTTAATGCCTTTATTTATTTAATTTTTGCCTTGTTTATTTACTTAATGAACCTTTCATATAGTTTTTACGCAAATTACGTGCTCTTAACTTTCTCGGACAAGTAAAAAATTGTTTTTGTTCTTAAAAAGTATTTATGAATTATGACTTGATTTATGGGGCGTGCCTTAAACTTGGGTTTTAGGATGAAGTTGTGCCTCACTTGGAGCCTGGAATGCTACCGTCAACTGTTGATCCAGATGCATCTGGGATTGCAGAAAGAGGGCAAAAGATGCCAAAAAGGCCCGTTCGTATTAGTGCTTGGAGGCTTGCTAAGTTGGATTCGCAAGAGGCAATGAGAGCAGCTGCAAAAGCCAGGGCATCATCTTCTGTTTTGCGACCTGTAGATAACCCTCGTCTACCAGATGCAGAATTAAGCTCCAGTGGCAACATGAGCATCAGAAGTAGTTTGAGCACAGAGACTGGGACTAATAAGGAAATAAAACATGATTTGAGATTGTCTCCAGTGAGAAATTCTGTTGCTCCTAGTCAAGGAAGTCGTGATGAGTATGAAACTGGAACTCAAAGTATGAGCAGTTTCAGTAGTCCTAGCCATGTTCAAGAGGCAGTTACACTCAGCCCTCTTCCGCAGGGTCACAGTTTGGGTGGCTTCAGGGCAGGTACTTCAATTCCTAGTTTGGTGCCTGAGCGTCCGGTTACATCTAAAGCAACTTTGTCAAACTTCAGGAACCCGATATCTAATCCTTCTCTAGGATTTGATGGAAGGACGGCGATGCCAAAGGGAATCGGTAATGACCCGCTATTGCTTTCAGCTTCTAACACGTCTATTCTAAGAGATGTGAAACGAACATCAGTAGTTTGGGATCAAGAAGCTGGCAGATATGTATCGGTTCCTTTATTGGCCTCAGAAGCTCGAAATAGGACATCCATGCGTATAGACTTGCCAAATTTAAATGCTGAAACAAGTGGTATTGGGAGAAAACCAGTGATTCCTCCGCAGGAGTTGCCATCATCTGCACCCAAGTCTCCAGGGCAGCATGCACAGAATCTGATGTATACCGGAGATTCTATCTTTTTTGGTGGTCCATTTTTTAGTGTCCCTGTTAAGGATGGTTTGAAAAATGAAAGACATTTGGTATCAGCGGATGCCCAAGATAGCAGCAGCATATCAGTAAGCTTGCCCCAAGAGCCAAGATATAAAAGGGATTCACTTTCCAATCAGCTTCCCGTGTTTGTACCTGGTGGGTTTGAGAATACTCTTCAATCTCGATCTAACATAAATTAGCTTAAGATGTTTGAGATTCCAATGAGTCAGACAAAGTTTTTGTTGGAGTCAAGAGGATAGTGATGCGGAAGGTTTTGAAATTAAAAGGCTCTGGTAGACACGATTTTAGCCTTTCAGACCATACAACAGAAAAGTTGGTTGCAACATTTGACTCCAGCGGGTGGTTGTTTATTGTTCGGCCTAATCATTTAGGTTTAACTTCTGTTGTCTTACAGCCTGTACACGTTTGAGATACATCTAAATGCCTCTGGGGCATTTGAGAGATGAACTTCAGTGTTCCTTTTGCTGAACATGCCTTGAGAAGTGTGAATCTTCCGGTATTCGGTGGGTGAAATCTCAAAGCAGTTATTGCTTCAGTTAGCATGAGCCTCCTTTATGGAGTTTTATTTATTGTTGTAGCTTTTGTTCCACTAGATGTTCAAATTGTTTGGTTTGTAGATTGTTCTGATCTCTCTTTTCTTTTTCTTGAATTTCGATTCTCTTGCTAGATTTTTCTCCCACATGCCTCTTTAAGGTATACTGGGCTTCTACGGTCTTACCTATCTACAGAAGAGATGAGCTTGTCTGGCTTCTAATAAAATAGGCCTAACCGATATTTTCCGCATCGGATATTTTTTTAAGGTTTTGTCGTAGATCATCGAAGCAGCGAAACGACACTAATCTGTAGATAGAGGAAATTCTCCTTTAGATTTTGAAATAACTGTTTAAAGTTGTATGAAAAAGGTTATTAGCTAATCGTCAATTATATTTTCCTTTCACTTTTTTTTTTCATTTTATCAATTAAAATATTAGAAGATGAAAAATAAAATTAAAAACAAATAAATTTTTATTTTTAAAGGGATAATTATTTGAAAATAAAAATAATATACAAGAAGTCAATTATGTGTAAACAACACACCATCTTTTTATATTGAATAAATATAAAGTTTCTTGTCTCAAACAATTAATTTGAAATTCCTGTGTTAGTTTATAATTGAATTATGAAGAATATTAGTTAAAGAACAAAAAATGTTAAATAACAAACATTTAATATATTAAAAATTCAAAATACTTATTTTTATTTAATATTTTAAAATATTAAATATTTTGATGTTATCAATATATTTATTTATTATTCAAATAAGGCTTTTTCTTTTTTTAAAATCCAATCATGCATCAGTCACCAAGGCATAAGTTGCTTCTCTTTCTGAAATCTTTCAACATTTCTGGCTGTGCCTTGTCTCAGTCCCTTTACACTTTCTTCTCTTTAATTACACCATGATGGATGCCTCGGGACCCTTTTCTTAATTGTCCCTTCTAACCTCTTATTATTCACTCTGTTAAAACATAATCGGTGACATGTAAAGTATTTTTTTTAAGCTATTTTGTTAATGTGTGTTTATGAATATATAAAAGAATTTACATATTTTTAAAGTAAAAATTGCATAATCTAATACATTAATAATATTAAATTCTGAAATTGTTTATTAACAAAATTATTTTTTAATTTTTATTACATATCTTTGTATACATGTTAGGAACACTGTTCTTCGGGTTCGCCCCACCGATTCTGAAAATTATGTTTCTCACTTTCCATTATTCTCCCCTCTTCCTACCTTCTTCAATGTTTATGTGATTTGGTCCATGTACTATATCAGGTCTTTAATTGTAGGTTGCAAACCTTTTTTTGTCCCATTCTATAAATTGACCAAGTGATGCAAGAGATTGACTATTCTCTTTCTGCCTTTTGTGTACTTAGATAGACGATTCTTACAGGTCGATACATGGGATCTTGTAAGAGTTGCAATATGATAGGTTCATTAATTTGGGTAATAGCCTCCAGTACAAGCATCTCCACTGTAAATGTATTCATCAAAAGATTAAGATATTGACATACATTTAATTTTTCCAATCATTTTATGTTTATAACTGATATTCAAGGTCATGGAGTCAATTCTTGTTGACATCATTTTTTGTATGCATGTTGTCACACAAAATAATGCATGCTTGTTCCTATCTTCGTATATTTTGCAAATCTAAAAATTGATGATAATTACTTTTAAATTCATATGAAAATGCTATGAGTTATCTAATTGATTAACGATATAAAAGAAATCTTTATAAGGGTATCAAGATTAAACTCGAGAATAAACTGCAAGTCACGTTAAGTTACTAATATACTGTAAGCAAATACAAATATCTGAACCACTTGGCACCAAACCAGCATGTCAGGTAGTTTTTGGCAATTTCCTTTGGGAATAGGGAATACGAAAGAAGAATGGCATGGTGCTAAGTTTTTGGCAAGTGCCACCTAAGAATCCACAAGTAGAGATAAATGTTGAATCTGGTTTTGGATGTTTCCTTAATCTGCTTGTTTGTTTGTCCTAATTGAAGAAGATAACACCAATGGTATGGTCATTGCTTTTGAAAATAAAACAAACCATGGTTTGGAAGCACGTTTGTCATTCACACTTTCACACACACTCACCCCACTCGGAAGCAAAATTGAGGGTAATGTTTGTCTTTGTCAAGGCATTTTTGTATTCACGTAACCTTTGGGAATATTAAAAGTCTTTCGGCCAGCCCTGATTCCCTACCCACCTAAGGTTAAAGACAAAAGAAAAACATTAAAGTGGGAAGTTTTTGTTAGAAAAGAAAGACAGGTTCTAGAGAGAGAAAGGGACAGTTTTAGAGAAAGATAGAGAAATTTCCAAGGCTCATCTTCTCACAAATTCCATGCTCCACTGAGGTGTGAAGGACAACAAAACAATAAAGACAAAAGGGACCCTTCACGCATTGTCGACAACGTAGTCATCAACAAGTCTTTGAAACTCACTCCCATTGAAGCAAGCACTAGCAGAGCCAGCAAGAGGCAAGCTTTGGAATTTTCTTGGGGCTTCTTCTTGATTATTCTTCAATTTCAAAACCCATCAAGGGATTAGCGGTTCCTCGTTAGCATGGCTACTTCTGTTGCTCACATGCTTTTGGTGGTAGGTTTCTCTCTTCTTGTTGTTGTAACTGTTTCCATCCATAATTTTTGCTGAATTGGTGGAAAATCTTTGACTCGTCAGTTTCTGAGATAAAGAAAAAAATAAATACAAGCTTGAGGCTTGAGCATCTGATCAAAGTTCTTAACTTGGGTTGTGCAGGTTCTTGTATTCAAATCTATTTCTGTTTCTCCTTTTCTTCTTTGCTTGTCCTGCTTTGCTTTGCTTATGGGATCTGCACTGCAGAATGTTGTTAATTTTGCTAAATGTTGTGCTTTGAACTTGTGCTTTCTTCCTCATTCAGTAGACTTCACTGGCTTCTTCAAACTTGTCCCATGTGTTGTAAAACGTGAGATTTTTAACTGAATGAGCCTGCAGACGTTTTTTAAATCAAATTTGTCTGTGACTCTTATAGTTATAGTTAGTTACTATTAACAATCATATCACCTTTGGTTATTTCCAAATTTCTAAGATTCTTCTTGTTGCTCTTATTGTTACATGGGATTTATGTTGGAAGAAGAAGGGTCGTCTTCTGTAACTTGTTCACCGCTGCAGCTCTTCTCCATGATGTCACTTTCACCTAGTTTAGGATCTCCCCATCTCTTGCTTAGAGAAATGAAATCTGAGCAAAGGGGTTTGTACTTGATCCATTTGTTGCTCACTTGTGCAAATCATGTAGCTGCTGGTAACCTTGAAAATGCAAATACCACACTTGAGCAAATTTCCCTGCTTGCTTCTCCTGATGGTGATACTATGCAGCGGATCACAGCATATTTTACCGAAGCACTCGCTGATCGGATACTTAAAACATGGCCTGGGATCCACAGAGCCCTCAACTCAACCAGAATGAGTATGCTTTCAGAAGAGTTTCTTGTTCAGAAGCTCTTCTTTGAGCTTTTCCCTTTCTTGAAGGTAGCATTTGTTCTCACAAACCAGGCTATTGTTGAAGCAATGGAAGGGGAGAAAATTATTCATATAATTGATCTAAATGCTGCTGAACCTGCTCAATGGATTGCTCTCCTCCAAGTTTTGGGTGCACGTCCCGAAGGCCCTCCTCATTTGAGAATCACTGGTGTTCATCAGAAAAAGGAGATTTTGGACCAGGTAGCTCATAGATTGACTGAAGAAGCAGAAAAGTTGGATATACCATTCCAATTCAATCCTGTAGTCAGCCAATTAGAAAATCTTGATTTTGACAAACTTCGCGTGAAAACTGGGGAGGCACTAGCAATAAGTTCTATTCTCCAATTACATACCCTTTTAGCCTGGGATGATGAAGCAATGCAGAGAAAATCCCCTCTTTTCTTAAAAAGCTCGAACGGAATTCACCTGCAAAGAGTCCTGCCAGTGAGCCAAAGCACATTGGGTGATTTTCTTGAGAAAGATATGGTTAATGGTTATACCCCAAGTCCTGATTCGACCTCATCGTCACCGGCATCTTTAACTGCTTCCAATTCAATGAATATGGAGAGCTTTCTCAATGCCTTATGGGGATTATCACCAAAGGTCATGGTTGTAACAGAGCAAGACTCTAACCATAATGGTCCAACTCTGATGGACAGGCTACTGGAAGCTCTATATTCTTATGCAGCATTATTTGATTGCTTGGAATCCACTGTCTCAAGATCATCATTGGAGAGATTAAGGGTGGAGAAGATGCTTTTTGGTGAGGAAATAAAGAACATTATCGCATGTGAGGGATCTGAACGAAGGGAAAGACATGAGAAGCTGGATAAGTGGTTCCAAAGATTTGATCTAGCCGGGTTCGGTAACGTGCCCTTGAGCTACTTTGGCATGTTGCAAGCAAGGAGGTTCCTTCAAAGCTATGGTTGTGAAGGATATAAAATGAGGGATGAAAATGGGTGTGTATTAATTTGCTGGCAGGATAGGCCCATGTTTTCTATATCAGCTTGGAGATCTAGGAAGTAAGACACAATCAAAGGGAAAGAAAGCATTGATGGTTTTTTTTTTCTTTCTTTCTTTTCTTTGTATGAGAATGTCTTTTTCAAATGGGAATGACGATTCATCGAGATCGGTTTTTAGATATACTCTTATTGCCTAGTAAAACCCCATCATCAAGAAAGAATATTGGGAAGAAAAATAGGCAAGAAGAACAGAAGAAATAGAATATTTAATCCGGGTTCTATTTACAGTTTCATTTTTCACCTATGATCATTTTAATTTTTGTGATCACCTGTACCCGAACTTGTATCTAGTATATTTATATATATAATATGTTTTTGTTTATTTACTTATTTAGTGCAAGTTGATTTTCAAATTCCTAGGACATGTCACGTGTCGATTATCTTTCAGCGAATGTAGCAACTTGGCTTTTAGTGGACTTGGATGAGCCTGAAAAAGCATTGCCACATAGGGGTGCTCAAGAAATTTAGTGGTTCATTCCTAATATGTACCATAGAATTTGTGTATGCTTATGCTGCTTTGGTCATAGTGACGATTGGCAAATGTCATGCTTGAAAAAAGCTTAGTAAATTATGTTCGATATTTTGTCTAATGGTGACAGATGAGCCAATTGCTTTAATTGCTTTTGACTTTATCGTGATACGATGTATCTCTAAGCAGCGAAAAAAATAAAATCACTTCCCACATGTCATCTTTTATTCCGTTTTGCTTTTTTGGGTTGGTGTGGTGGCTGTTGGAAAACTGGGGCGTGCATTAATCAATTCATAGACATTGTTTATATAATTGGATCTAGTAATGTTTTGTTGTTGACCAAATAAGACACTTTTTGAAAGTGTTGAGGAAACACTTATCAGAGTGAGGTAGTCAATCAATATTAAGGTAAATTCTCTCGTCACATAGACGTTTTTGAGGATTACCAATAATCCTTCAAGAGTTGATCCTTCATCTTTATCAAAATATGTTTTACAACCTTTTAAAACCAACATTTTTCGTGGTTGAGATTCTCTAAACCTTTTATAAAACTAAAGAGCATCTCAATCTTGGAAGAGAACTTGGCTTTTTCAGTTGGTGGCAATTCCTGCATGATTTGAGTGCCAGAATTGATTCATTAGCGTGGGTTTGGTTTATTTTATTTGGGAGAAATAAAAAAAATTATCTTTAATAATTTCTTGAGAGAATGTTTAAAAATAAGCAATTATTTTCAAACATGCACAAGGCTCTTCAGTTTTTTTTCCCCTTATAATGTCCAACACTTGATGTAGGAACATATTTTAGATGCATATTTTTGTCATCGGTATTATAATTGTGTTGAAACCCTTTGCATGAGATACACATAACAAGCAAGCAATATGTGTCTTTAAGTGTTTTTGGCATGATAAGAACTTTGGGAAACCTTTTTCGCTGAAACCAAATGAGATGACAGTGATTTTCACAAATTAGACATTTTATTGGTATGGTTAGAAACATGCCATTTTAAGCTTTTTCTCCCACTTCTGTGGTAAAATATTAGGGAAATTAATAGGCCTTCACAAGCAAGAACTAGGTATTTTGGAGAACATTGGCCCACAGTTAAGACCACCGACGAGTGTGCCAAGTTAGACCCATTTACTCAACAGTCAGAGACCCAACCATTTAAGTTTAAAACCCAATTTAATAGGACCTGGATTGTCTACAGTAAATTTCTTACTCCACCAAATTCAATTTTAATCGTAATTATTGTATTTATTATATTTTTAAAAATTATTAATTTTAATGATTAAGATCATTAGTAAACCAATCAAAATAAATAAAATAATGATCCAGTGGATCAAGAAAAAGGCCAGATATACTGTCAATAATAAAAACATTGCAATCTTATAGCAAATTAATAAGCTCAATGGATAAAGAACAAATTTAGAAAAACAAGTTTAGAGAAGCTTCCATTGAAACACACCACAAAATGCTGTCTTTAGAGAGGAAATGCTCCATTAATTACACTAAGACTTTTAAAATAACGCATTCCTTTTTAAAAATAGGTCAGCCGATAGACTAATTGAGTATAACAAAATTCTTAGACTAATTAATATTGCGTGTCAAATGCGAAATTTAATTCTTAGTTTAAATGTTATGGTTAAATAAATAATTTTATAAAAAAATACATTTAATAAATATTTTATTATATATTATTAAAAGAAATTGTTTTATTGGATAACATCGTATATTTGTTAATAAAAATTAAGAATATATATACAACTTTGAGAGGAGAAAAATAATAAGGATATGACTAACTTAGCTAACAAACTTCTAACAACTTGACATTATGACAAAGTAATTAACTATCACTAATGAAGGGTTAATACTAATGGGAGTTGTTTTTAACTTAAGTTAATACTTTCCCTCAAGATGGATTGTGAAAAATGTTTTGAACGCCGATCTTGGATAATAAGGTTTTAAAAAGAGGATTAGGAAGGGCTTTGGTAAGTAAGTCTACAAGTTGGTGTTTGCTTGGGACATGGACCAATCGAATTGATCCTTGCTGAACTTTTTCTCGAATGAAGTGGAGGTCGATCTCAATATGTTTTATCCTCTCATGAAAGGTTGGATTAGATGCTATGTGAATTGTAGATTTGTTGTCACCATATACCACAAAACTGGGCAAATCAATTTGAAAGTCTTTAAGTAAACTGTGAAGCCAAGTTAATTTGCTTGTTATAGATGCTAAGGATCTGTACTCTGCCTTTGCTGAACTTCTTGCAACTATTGGTTGTTTCTTTCATTTCCAAGATATCATAAATCCAAGAAAAGCACACTGACCCGAGACAGATTTTTTGGTGTCAGTGCAAGTGCCCCAATCTATATCTGCATAAGCACTAAGTCATAGTTGAGATTTTGAGGAGAAAAGGATTCCTTGGCCTGGTGTTGATTTTAGATATCTAAGAAGATGATGAATGACTTTCAAGTGAGAAGAGTAAGGCTTTGACATATATTAATTGAGTTTATTAACTACAAAGGTAATGTCAGGTCTTGTGATTGTTAAATAGAGGAGTCTGCCAATCAATTTTCGATAAAGGGTGTTGTCCTCTAGTAGTTCTCCTGAAGTTGCATTCAGTTTTGTGTTGAGATCCATTGGGAGGCTGTAGGTTTTGCTTCCAAAAAATTGCAATCTTCAAGTAGTGAAAGAGTTTATTTCCTTTGAGAGAGGAAAATTCCTTTAGATAATCTAGCTACTTTAAGTCCAAGAAAATATTTCAATGATCCGAGATCTTTTAACTTGAATGCTTTATGTAGTTGCTCTTTAATCTGAGATATTGCTGCTGTGGATGCACTGGTAATGATAATATCATCTACATATACCAATAAGAAAACAAACTAGAGTTAGTTACTTTAGTAAAAAAGAAATAATCATTCTTAGATTGGGAGAATCCTAAGGATATAAGGGTGGTGGAGAACTTCATGAACCATTATCTTGAAGCTTGTTTGAGCCCATATATGGACTTATTGAGTTTACGAACTAGGTTCTCTCCCTTAATCGGATATCCAAGAGGCAAGTCCATGTATACTTCTTCAAAGAGATCTCTGTTTAAAAAGGCATTATTAACATCTAGTTGTGCTAAGTGCCAATTCTTGGAGGCTACTATAGATAGGAGAACTCTCACAGTTATGAGTTTTGCAACAGGGGAAAAATGTCCATGAAATCAATTCCTTCTTGTTGTGTGTAGCCTTTTGCTACTAATCTAACTTTATGTCTATTTATTGTTCCATCAGCATCGTATTTCACCTTCTATACCCATCTACAACCTATAGAATATTTTCCAAGGGGTATAGTGGTTACAGTCCAGGTGTTGTTTGCCTCTATAGCATCCAATTCTTCTTTCATAGTATTCCTCCATTATTGGTGCTTGATGGTAAAACTGAGGTTCAAAATTTGAATCAACTTGCATGATGTAGTTATGATAGGATGGAGCTAGAGAGTTATACCCCATGAAATTGGACATGGGGTGTGGGATGTTATGTTCATAATTTGCTAAGTAGGCAAAGGTTTTGGGCATTCTTGATGACTTTCTTGGTTGAATGGGTTGAATGACATCAGGGATGGCATTAGAGGAGCTCAAATGTGAGATTTCTGTAGTATATTCAACTGTTCATGGCTGAATGACAGGTTGAGGAATGTAGCCACAATTAGAACATTGAGGTCTCTCTTTCTTGCCTTTGGCTTTGTTGTTTTCAATGTTCAACTTGACTGCAAAGGCCATTTGAGTTTCTTAGATGCCAGAAGATTGACCAACCTGTTGTTGCTTCTCTTCTTAAAGGATGAGGGAAAAGGCTTTAGTAACATCGGGTAAAGGTTCTTGCAGTAGAATTTGTCCTCGAGCAGAGGAGTATGAGTCGTTAAGCCCTATGAGAAAGGAAAGAAGATATTCTTGTTTGAAACCTTCGAGTAGAGATCTAGAGCCTCCACAAGTGCAGGTGCAAGGGGTTTTGAATGAATTCAACTCTTCCCAGATGGCTTTCAATTTGGTATAATACTGATTCACAAAAAGGTTACCTTGAGTTCAAACACCCTTGGACCATTTTGTTGCTTGAACCGAGTTTGCAAATCTTGCCATGTTCGGAGGGCAAGTATACTCATCGAGAAGTAATAAAGGGTTCTTAAATTAAGTTCCCGAAATATCGTCTCACAAGGATTGATTTTTAATTACTAAGAATTTCCTAATTCAATTGTTTAAGCTTCAAAGATACGAGATTAATTAAAAATAAGAATTTATAAAATCAATTATAAAACTAAGAACTAAGAGCAAGGAATACAAATGCACGTTTTGGTTGAACTTATCAAAGAGGAACCTAGGGCATATGGGTTTTCTCATTCAATTCTTTATGTTATTTTTCTATTTAACTCTAAATTCGATTTTCTTGTGATTACCAATCATTCATACGAATATTATTAATACCCAATGGTCATGCAATATTAATATTCTTTTCTCTAAATTAATATCTCCAATGGTCATGCAAGACATCAATTTGAGAAAGTTTAAGGAACCTATGAACTTGTTAATTTAATAACGATTAGAAGAGAAAGATTGGTTTGATCTACCTAATCCTTTGTCTCATTTTACCCTATAGATCTATTAATTAACCGAGGTATGGTCGCCTGACGATACAATTAATTAGGATTAAGAAAGAAGCGCAATAAGATAAAATCTAATCACAAAACGGAAGTCAAATTTAAATTCAAATATCAAAATTCCATAAATTCATTAACAATAGTTCTCATAACCCTAGCTATGGACTTAGTTACTCATGCTAAAGAAAAGAACTAAAACAATCATAAACAAAGCCATAATCAAAAGAAATAGCAAATTAGAGTGTGAGATGTGTTCCCGATCTTCAAGTACGATCGCTCGAAGCTTCAAGTCCCACCAAGCATGTGCCAAGGATACCGTGCAAGAGAGACGAGATCAAATGTATTCTAGAGCCAAAGCCAAGATATCAAAAAACGGTCCTCTACGATGCCTGAGATCTTCCCTTTTATAGGATTTGAAAACCCTACAAACTCTTCATAAATGAGCTTCCCGCAGATGAGCACGACCGTGCAAGGCCTTAAGCACGACCATGCATGGGCTCGAGGCACCCCGTGCTTATTGAATGGGTCTGAGCGTGCTGACTGCTGCAAAACTCTAATCTTCCATCAATTTGGGCCTAAGAAACACCCAAAATCCACTTGCGGCCTCTTTATACCAAACTGCACAATTAATATATAAATTAGTGTAAAATTCAAATAAAATAAATGTCAAATATAAATATATGGGCTGTAAAGGAGGGCTTAATTACAGACTTATCATGCCACATCTCAGCAACAATGTTGGCAAAGATGATGCTCTCCACCAAATCTTTTGAAACAACATTAAGAATCCAAGACATGATGATTTGGTTGTTTCGATCCCAAGAAGAATAAAACAGAGGTCAAGAATTGACCCATCAATGAAGCCAAATTTGTTTTTGGCAGAAAGTGCAATACACATGTATCTACTCCATGAAGAATAGTTATCAGAAGAAAGCTCCTGGGAGACCAGAACAAACTCAGGGTGATCTGAAGGATGCAAAACATAAGGATTGGAAACTTCATCCATTGGAGAAACTTGAGCCATAGCTTCAAAGGAGAAGAGAACAGAAGCAAAAATACACAAGTTGAATAAAGAACACCAAGAGAATAAAGCAGAATTTTAATTGTTTATAAGAGAGATAGAGTGAAAGTTTTCACTTGTACCATATTAAAGGAAACTGTTTCACTGAATAACATCGTATATTTGTTAATAAGAATTAAGAATATATATACAACTTTGAGAGGAGGGAAATAACGAGGATGTGACTAACTTAGCTAACAAACTTCTAATAACTTGACATTATGACAAAGTAACTGACTATCACTAACGGAAGGTTAATAAGAGTTAATAATAGTGGAAGTTGTTTCTAACTGAAGTTAATATATATATGAAATTTAATATAAAAAAATAATTTAACGATTTAATCAATTAATTAATACGTGTAAGTGTACAGTTTTAATATACAGATATAAGTCTCTCTTTTTTATATAATGAAAAGTACATCAGCATATTGGTCAAAATACGTGAAAAATCGTTGCATGATTTTAATAATAAACATGTAAAAGGTAATTTTTATTGTGAGATATATAATAAAATTAATGATTTATTTAAAAAATATAAATATTTTTTAATTTTCAAAATATTTGAAGAATCAAAATTATTAATTTAAAAAATATAATATACCATGACAAATAGCAAACACCATTTGTAGAAATGCAAGAAAATATAGTTATATGATGTGTAATGTACGACATAAGAGAGAGAAAAAAGGTGAAAATGATTGTGCACTTATCACTTTTGTACTCATTATATACTATAAAATAAGAACAATTGGTAGATCAAATAAAAGCTATTAATAAATATATTTATTTTTTAAACTAATTTAAATTAAAATTATAAAGCTAACAAAATATTTTCTAACAACCATGTCATCATTCATGTAAAATCTATACAACTCTTCTGTAACAAAGTGTAAAATTGATTCATAATATTAGAAAATATCTTAATTTTTTAAACATAACTTTTAACTAGATGAAGTCATCTATGACTTTAATGTTGTATAATAATATACACTAATTTTTTTATATTATTAATTTATTATTAAAATGTTTAGATTGAAACTATAAATGTGAAATCATTATAACACTATTATAACTTTTATATTAAAATATTTAACATGATTTTATTTAGTTTCAAGCAGCTGATAAAAAAAATAGTTTCAAACATGCACACTACATGGATATATTCCATTTTAAACATGGTTCTTCCTTTCATCTCCAAGCATACATCGGAAGACACTTATTCAATTATAAGGCACTGCAAGAAGGTCTTCACTTCATCACTTTTGGCGGCACTTTAACAGCTGAAACAATAACATTCCAAGTTTAATATCAGTTCTTTTCGTTAAAAATAAAACACTTACCTTACCACAGAGACTTTTTTTTAAAAGAAAATAGACCAATTATAATTTGATGAAAATAGAGTGATATTAACATTCCTCCATTAGCTAAAGTCAAGAGAAATTAAAATATGTTGAAAGTCAAATGAATTAGGTAGAAGATCTTACGTCCACATTGCATTCCCGGGGGAACATTCAATCCACAAGAGCGTGCAACAAAGATGGCCTTTGAAACACTGATAAAGTTTTCAACTTCCTTAGTAATAAGTTTGCAGACACATGGCACATCAAATTTTCTCAACACTACACAACACGCTGGTGATGGAGGAATCGTTGGCCCAGTCTTCTGCACATACTGAGAACACGAAGATATAGCATCTGTTATGCTCCCTCCACATTGAGCTGAAACCTCACTTGTGTTATATATCAATAATCCAGCAATCACCAATATTGTTAAAGTCAAACAAGAACTTCCCATTCTTTGTCCTTCTTTCTATCTTTCTATCAAAAGAACCCACAACGATTAATGTTTAGAAAACGCCTTGTAATACAATGCTATGACTTGGTGACCGTTTATATAGAAATGGGAATTAAAAATTTTATAATAATTTTATGTCTTTTTGTCATATTTTATTACGTTTTGTCAACTCCTACAACGAATAAATCGCACTTCAAATTTTAAAAAATTTGTTGTAGCTAGAATTTCGTGAGGAACTATGTACATGAAATTGAACATGTACGTGAAAATGTGAAATTCACCAAATTGCTATGCATATGATCCTTTACAGAGGGAAGACATTCATCAAATTAAGCCTATAGTTGCCATTTTCCTTGAACATATACTACGTACGGCAGGACAACATATAACATTACAGTTACATGGGACAAATCAAATAGATCTTATCAAGACGTATAAAAAATAAAATGGTATCACTTCATTGTTACTTCTAGCACATTGCCTTTTAAACTTGATGTAAATTAACAAGAGAAACATTTGTTTGAAGTGAACCACCAAGTATGTGACCGTTATACTTTAGGCGGCTGAAAGCAAACGAAACCATGGCTTTTTGGGGTACAAAAAAGAGCCTTGGCATTTTACTTTATTAAATTTTTTAATTAGTAGCAAAAAAGTAAAAGAGAAAGCACTTTAAGAAAGCAAATATAATCAAATTTGCTTAAAAATAAAATGTACTTCGTCTTGTTCAGAAAATTTTCAAGTTTCTTCTAACTTTTTGACTGTAAAAATATAAAAAAGTATCTATAAAAAATACAATCAAAGAAAATGCCTTTGCTAGATCCATTTTTAGGTCTAGTTTCCTTTTTTGTTAAACATTTGAGTCCAAAAACTTATTTGTACATTGTTCTATTTTATTTTGGTCAAGATTTTACATTATAGACCTGGTTTACCTCCTCTCCTCGTACATACACCACTCCATCATCAGGTCCAATAACCCTTAAGTCTAACATGATATCCACTCAAAATCAAAGAGTTCGAAACCAATCTAAGAATAAAGCCCAGATCATTTTATGTGTTTAACTTGAACCTAATTATATATAGAAATTATTAAATCATACGAAACTAATAAGGTACTTATTGCGATAAATTTGAAGGAGTATTTTATATTTTTTAATTTAATGTTCGTGATTTTTTTAATATTTTAAAAATAAAAATATTAATATTTTTTAATTAAATCGCTAACTTCATTATTTATTATATTTTTTTACCTATAAAATTAATAATCAGTATTATTTCACGTGTAACAAAAAAAATACTAAACACTTTAAATTATAAAAGGTACTATAAACTTTTTTAACTAATAAATAACAAAAACAATTTAACATTATCTATCTTGATTTTCGTAAAATCTGTAACTATTGTTTTTATATTTAATTTAAATTTAACCAATAAAATAAAAACATGTACTTTTATAAACTTCCGTACCATTTAGTTGACCTCGTTTTATATTTTAATCATTTCATTTTATTTATCGCATTTCTGTTAATATTCTAATTAAAACTTGGGTCTCATCCAAATTTTTTTTATAAAAATCCAGAAAAAATTTATATTAATAGGTTGACAGAAACTAATGAAAATGTATTTTTTATTATGATAAATTAAACTTCTTAAATAAGTGCTTAAATAAAAATTTAGATCGTCTCTAATTTATACAAAAATAAAACTATGAAGTTCATTTTAACTTAAATGAATTAAAATTCACTTAAATAAATTAGTAAAAATAACATAAAAAGCATACAAATATTGTTTAAGCGACTCAAAATTCACTTAAATAAATATGTTACAAAATAGAAAAAAAAAATAACAATAGAAGAAAAATGGAGGCAACGATAAAATTCAATCTACTCTTAAGCTTACTCAACATGATATAGTTTAGTCATTAGTATGAATCAATGTATGTGAAATACCACTTTGTGATAGACAATGATAAACAACAATTTAATAGAAATTAAGAATAAAAATAAGATATTTCAATTAAAGTGATATAAGAGAGTTTTTTAAATTAAAATCTCTTGTTGTACATTAATTATTATAATGTGTCTAAGTGATGTTGAATATAAATTATTATTATTATTATTAATGATAAAGGTTGTGAACTATCATATATGTCTTGCATAAGTTAAAAAATAAGAAAGACGAAGGAAGGGAGAAAGCCAAGAGAAGAAGAAGGTATCACAAAATTTACCATTGAACCAAACTATTGTCAATGCTCAGTAATACCTTCAACGATCAAAATTGGTCTAAACCTTGTTAGAGGAGAAAAAGCCCAAGCCCAAGCCCAATTAGGAAGTTCTGGTTATAATTCTGTTATCAATTATTATGTAGTATAAATAGTAACATTTGTATCTCTCTCTATATTCAATCAAAAAGCAATTACATTCATCTCTCTCTTCTCTGTTCAAGTTTTCCTTTGCATCTTGCATAAGTTTTTGATACCTTACATGGTATCAGAGCTGCAACGATCCATAGAGACCTTAATACGTTCGCAGCTTAAACGAGTTTTACTCTAAAGCCGTTCGCAAACTTCATTTCACTCAGATTGGACGATGACAATTTCATTCAGTGGAAAAAGCAAGTCTTGGTGTGTATCAAAGCCAACAAGGTTAAGGATCATCTCCTTCAAAGCAAAATGCCATCAAGATTTGCCACCACTGCAGATGAACAAGTAGAAAATGGAAGTGAAGAAGGACCACATTGAAACAGTCTTGGAAGGGCTCAAAGAAAACTATGGTGCATCTATCACCATGGCAATTCCTTGTGCAAGAAGATCTGAAAAATGGAGCTTGGGTTGATTCAAGGCAACTTAGCTCAAATTGGACAAGTCTATGGTAGAGGCCAAAATAGTGCAAGAGGACATGGATCCAATTGGAATGGAGAAAATCAACCTCATTGTCAACTATGTGAAAGGAATGCTACTTTTGGTTTGATCAAAACTTCCACAATCCTAACAATCATGCTCGACATCCTTCCCTTCCTCCCACCACCTCTTTTTATAACTCCTCAATGGCAACAAACTCAAACCCTTGGCAAGCTTTCTTGGCTATAGCCCTTTCACTGTTCACCTCATCTTTGACCCAACCAACTTGATTCTAGGAAGCTATGTTGGGAATGGTTCAGGTATGGAAATACCTCATATTGGCAGTTCATTGTTGCATTCCACTTTATCCAACCTTACATTTAAACTCAATGATATATTGCATGTTCCTTTAGTCATAAAAAACCTTCCTAGTGTTACTACTGCTTTGTTAAAACACATGGAACAAGAAAGACAATTCACACAAAAAGGGTCTTTATAACCCTGACAACATATATCTGCAAAAACCACAAAACACAACTTCTTATTTCAATATAAATTTAATAAAATCTTATAGTAATTTTGACTTATGCCACAAAAGATTAGACCATCCTTCAAATAAAGTACACTGATAAATTTCAAGTTAATTTGCTTCTCCTCCATTTTCCTCTACTGTTACTTTTTATTTTTCTATTATGCAATTGTATTTTTTGAGTTATTTCATTTAATTTGTTTAAATAAAATAATATTTACTTAGCAAAAACAACCTAAACTATCTTATTTTTACACAAATTAAAAAAGATTCAAATCACTTAAACAATTATCTAAAAGGAAAAAAAATAATATTTATTATAATAGTATAATAAACAATTAACGTAGATTTTTTTTTCTATCATAAGAGGTCTTTAGAATATATAACATTCAATAAAAAGTAAAGCTTTCTGTAATACTGATTAAAAGTAAAACAAAAAAAATCATAAATTACTTATTGTAATCATTTTGTAATCTTTTTAAAAAGATTTGATAGTTATCACATATCATACATCTCTACTAACTAAGTACAATGATTAAAATATAAAAAATAAAAAATACTTTTTATGATTATTGTAGTATTATAAATTAGTTTAGTATTCTGTCTAATGCACATATAATTTATTTTAGAATAAATATATACATATAATTTAATAATTAAAATATAAATTTATATCATTTAAATAATTATATATAATTAAATTAATTTTAAAAATATTAAAAAATTATTTTAACTGAATTTTATAATTATGAACAATATGAATCAAAATGATAATTTTTTAATAAAATTAAATAACTTTAAAATAATATTTTTATTGTATAGTATCAACAAATTTTTTAATTAAATGTCAATAATTAATATATATTAATAATTAATAATATTAATTTATTATATAAGACTCTTAAAGTAACTTCAAATTAAAAAACTTAGAAAAATTACAATTTTTATAAATATAAAAATAAATATTTTTAAAAAATGTAAAAAATTATAAAGTTAATATAAAAAAAGTTAAATAACAACTTTAATTTTTAAAATTTAAAACAAAGTCAATAAATATAGATGTAAGAAGTAAAATTATTACAACAAAAGATTATATAATTTATTAATGATTATAAATCAATTTTTGTGTGACATATGATAAATTGTGAATAAAATTCTATTAATATTTCAAAATTTAAATAATAAATTTTTATTTATAATATAAATATCAATAATTAGTACAGTTTTTTTAGAAGATTTTTAGATTGCATAACATTTAAGAGTGAGATAATTTTTTTTGTAACATTAATTAAGAGTATGATAGTAAAATCATAAATTTGTAAAATTTATTACAATCATTGCGTAATTTATTAAAAAAATGAGAGAGTTACTGCACATCATACAAATCCAAGCTAATAAAGCATGTTCAAAATAAAAATAAAAATAAAAATAAAACAATATTATTTATAAATAGTGTATTATCATAAAGAATTAAGTCAAAAGTTATATATATATATATATATAAGTCCTTTAAATATAACGGGTGAAATTATGTGTAATAATAAACATGGAAAAAATTATAAATTTGCTATACTTAGGATTAATTTTTAGAAATAATAAATATTTTTTAGAAAAAAAATTTATATGATATAAATATTATGTATATAACAATATTTTTTTTTGTAAATTTACCATATTTATAATAATTATTTTATAATTTTTAAAAAATTAGTAGTTACAGTGTATCATGCTTCACAGTTTGTTTAAATGACATAAAAATAAAGGGTAGAGAAAGAAATAGAAAGAAAAATAAATTTTTTTTATAGTTTAGATGATATCAGAAAGGGAGAGAACGAGTTTTTTTAGTTGTCATATATGTAGAACTGTTTTTCTTTTTAATTTTAATTTTTAAAATTATTAGAATAATATTAAAAACATAAAAATAAAAACTATTAAAAATAATATAATAAAAAATTTAATTAATTTTAATTTTTATAAATATTTTTTATTATATTTTAATTATTTCTTTTCATGTTTTTCTTTATGGGGAATGTATTTTTTATAATTTTATTTTCTCTTATTTCAGCTCATTTAAACATTAAATATTTTTATTTTATTTTTTAATCTTTCTTTTTTTTGGTTTAAACCACACTATTTTTTATTGAAAGTAATTTTTTTTTTATTTCATCTCTCATCCAAACAAGATCTTAAATGAAGTAAGTAATATAAAAATACTATTATCAATATAATGAAAAAAAATAAAAATTTTAAGCTTCTCAAACTCTTAGTGAGTACAAGAGTTCCTTTGTTACTTAATTTGTAATTTATTTTTTTTTCTTATAAAAATTTATTTATTTTATTAAATAGAGTTTATTATCAATCAAACGTTATAAATTTTATTAATTTTTAATTAATTAATTAGTTTAAAGTATTAATTTCATTGGATATAGAATTTATATATATATATATATATATATATATATCATAATATAAGAAAATATATCTCTGTATAAGAAGAAGCTAATTTATTTTAAAAAATGAGAGTGTGTTTATAATCATCACTTAGATATTTAGATATAGATTTTTTTTACCTGTGCAATGTTATATATAATAATTTTTTATTATAATTTATAATATTTAATAATATCAATATATTTAATTATATTTTTATTAAATATATTAAATTATATTAATTTTTAATAAAAAATATTATATCTAATTTATTATATTGTGCAATATTGTTCAGCTAAAAAATGATTTTCGATATTTAAAGACACAGACATGCAACTGAGTTTTAGGTATGTGGATAGATAGTAGAAAAGACCTGAGAGTACCGAAACATTATTCTTTTTTCTTCACAGCACTATATTTATCTTCTTCTTTTTTAATTTGTTATGCAATTGAAACTTAACACACACTTTAAATAATATATGCATATTTTTTAAAAATAAAATTCTAAATTTAAATATTATGTATTAAAAGAAATAATTTTATTTGTAAATTTTTTGATGATAAATTTTTAAAAATATTTAATCTAATTTTATTTTTATTTATTCAAATTTAAAATAATTAATTAAATTAATATAATTTTTTAGTTAATTCAGGTGTTTATTAAAGATAAAAAAAAATGTTGGAATTTAATAGTAAATGTTTTAAAAAAATTTAAATGGGTAAGAATTGTTACTGTTTGGTTCAGCCTCCGCAGTCCGTACTACTTGGTTTGACCCATTTCCACTTTAGAGAGAGGGAGACACTCCTTTGGCTTTCGTTCCAACTTCCTCTCTCTCTCTTTCCGTTGGTTGGGTTTAGTCGATTACCCCTTCATTTCAATTCCCAATTTCTCTCTTTTACTGCGCCAAAGGCACCAAAGGTTTGGTCTTCTCTTTCCTCAATTTTTAGTTTCTATCAATTGAGTTTTTTTTTTAAATTCCCTCCCTATTTGCTGCTTATAGAGATCACAAACTGTGTACTGTGTTAGGAGGATTGCAGTGTTGCTATGGAATTTGTGGGGAAAAGTGTTAAGAAAGAGGTGAAGGGGGTTGGGGTTATCTCTGGAACAGTGAAATCCTACGACCCTTCCTCTGGCTTCTTCGAGATCCTCTACCAAGACGGCGTTTCTGAGGAGTTGGAAGCCTCTGATGTTGCTTCCCTCATTCAATTTCAACCCCACCTTGCTAAGGCCAAGCCTCGGGTTGGTCGGAAGCCTAAGAAACGGCGCCGCTTGGAGCGGAAGCGCGAAATTGAAGCAGCTTCAGGTAATGTTAGTGAGAATTTGGTGGCTGAGGGTAGTGAATTTAGGGGGGTTTTGGATGCTAATGCTTCTGCTGCTGGTGGGAATTTGGAATTAGGTTGTGGGTTTGAGAGAGGTTTGGATGTGGGAATTGAGAATGGAGGGAATCTTAGAGGCATTGTTAATGGAACTGTTATTGAAAACGGGGGTGGAGAAACTCTGGGAAAGAAAATTGGGTTTGAAGAGAATTTGAAGAAGGGTGTATCTGCTAATGGGAATTGTGTTAAGGATGAGCTTGATTTGAATTCTAGGCTTAATCTGAACGAGGATTTCAATCTGAATGATGCTTGTGGTTCACCTTTGAACACGGAGGATAGTTTGAAAAGGAGAGATTGTATTGATTTGAATTTGGATGTGAGTAATGAGGATGATGTTAGCCTGAATGCTAGTTACTTGGGTTGTTCAGGAGGGGAAACGTTGCAGCGGGAATGTAAATTTGATTTGAATGTAGAGGTGTGTGAAGAAGTTAAGGAAGCTCAGGGTGATGCTGGTGCAAATGGTCATTATGAGGTAAATGCTTTGTTTAGTAAGACGGGCCAGCTCCCAGAGGAAGATGCAAATGTTAATCATAGACCAATAGAAGATGACAGTGTTCATTGTAGTTTGAATCATGTCTCTGATGCTATCAAAGTGGAGGTGATTCATATTTCTGCTGAGCATGCATCTAATGACACTTCGTTGTGTTTGATTGAGGGAAAGGAAGGGGAACATGTCAAAGAAGACGCACCAGCTATTGATTCTTTACAGGTTTCAAATGTGATTTCTGTTAGGGACTGTGATTCTGTGATGGTTCAGCGAATGGACTGTCATTCTGAAGGTGGTTTTGTCATAACTCATGAATGCCAAGATGATCCAGGGAGTCCATGCAAACAAGGAAATAGCCGAAGGAAGAGAAGAAAAGTATCAGATAACCTAAAATCCACACCAGAGACAGTTTTAAGGAGGAGTTCTCGCCGGGCATCAGCTAGAAAACAGGATTCAAGCACTGTACCAGTGCAGGTCACTGATGATCCTTTGTTCTCCTTGGGAACCGTTACCTTAACTGAAGAAAATCCTCTAATCCCTGGTTCTGAGAAATATGAACATTGCAATGATCCTCTTCCAAAGCTGCAGTTACCCCCATCTTCTAAAAATTTGATTTTAGATGACGTTCCTGTTCTTGAACTTTTTTCTATTTATTCTTGTTTACGATCATTCAGTACTTTATTATTTTTGAGTCCATTTGAGTTAGAGGATCTTGTAGCTGCACTGAAATCTGAAATCCCAACTATATTATTTGACAGCATTCATGACTCTATTTTGCAAACTCTGAGAAAGCATTTGGAATACCTTTCCTCAGAGGGTTGCCAATCTGCATCTAATTGCCTGAGGTAGATTGTATTTCTATTTTTTATCAGTCCCACTGCTACTAGTGAATCTGTTTAACTGTGTTATTCTTGTAATTTTTCATTTTTATATTTTTACACCAATGCAGGAATCTTAACTGGGATTTTTTGGACCTGGTCACCTGGCCTATTTTCATGGCTGAGTATCTTCTGATTCATGGTTCAGGATTTAACACTGGTTTTGACCTTAAACACCTAATGTTCAGAACTGATTACTACAAACAACCTGTAATTGTGAAGGTTGAGATTCTTCAGTACCTTTGTGATCATATGATTGAAGTGGAAGCCATAAGATCAGAGCTTAACAAAAGATCTTTGGTTACTGAGACTGATATGGGTTTTGATCAGAATATGTACTTTGACAATTGCAAGAAAAGAAAAGCTGTAATGGATGTTTCTGGTGGTTCTTGCTTGACTGAGGAGAATGTGGATGACACAACTGACTGGAACAGTGATGAATGTTGCCTTTGCAAGATGGATGGTAATTTAATATGCTGTGATGGTTGCCCTGCTGCATTCCACTCAAGGTGTGTGGGAATTGCTAGTGACAACCTGCCCGAAGGTGACTGGTATTGTCCAGAGTGTGCAATTGGCACACACAAGGCTTGGATGAATTCACGAAAGTCACTTCGAGGAGCAGACTTGGTAGGGATTGATCCTGATGGCCGTCTCTATTTTAACAGCTGTGGTTATCTATTAGTGTAAGTGTAGCTATGCCCTTTTTCTGGATAAATTGCATATTATTGTCTCCACCACTTGTTTTCTACTCTTAGCTTGACAAATATTTTTTGATGTGTAACATCAAATCCTTTTATTGGAAGAGTTCGCATGACATTCAGTTGGACTTTTAGGGTGCCTGGCACCTTGTCCCACTGTTATCCATCCCCACGTATAAGACAAGATTTATTCAGCACATCTAGTAGAAAACATATAGATTACCTGCATTTTTGCTTTCCCTAGTCTATTTGATCATTATTTTGTATCACAAACTGACTCCCTAAATTTACTTTTTTCCATTGAATGTGAACTTTGAAGTAGTTAGTTTTCTTGTTGTTCTGCAAAACACAAACCCGTATCTCAGATGTCTAAAGTCTAAACTGCTCTGTTGTGTTGCTTTTTATCTTAGTATGGTTTTGCTTTATTATAATGCTGAAACCTTTGCAGGTCAAACACATCTGAAGCAGGGTTGTTGTTCAATTACTACCACAGAAATGATCTACATGTAGTAGTGGAAGCTCTAAAATCTATGGATCCTTTATATGAAAGCATATTAATGGGTATCTATAAGCATTGGGATATCCCTGCTAATTTTAGTGTGGCTACTAGTGTCTTTAATCAAAGTTCTATTGAGAACATGCATATGAAGGGAGAATATTCTACTATGCATACATCTGTAGCACCTTTAACTTCTTCAGAAACATGTTTGGACAAGAATCAGGCTGATGATCAAAGAAAGTTGGATGAAAATTCAACTATTGACTGTTCTATGCATCTTGGCCAAGAGTTTCCAAAAGCTGGGAACCGCTTCGACTCAATGACAACCATAGAAAGTCCTTGTATTGCTTCAGAAGGATCAGCTGATACCACACAAATGAGATCAGGTGTTGAGAATGTTCAGGTATATGGACCTAAAAATTCCAATAGATCTGACGAATCCTTGAATCAATCAGGAGTTTCAGAAAAACAACATCTTGTTGGTGAATGTTTTTTGACATCTTCCAGCATAGATGTGAAACATAAAATAAACTTAAGATCAGTAGGTGCTAGTGCTGCCCCCTCCACAGACAATAAGGATACTTCAGAAGCACCTTGTGAAATTGACTACATAAACTATTACAGCTTTGCCCGAACTGCCTCCTTTGTTGCTCAAGTGTTTATGTGTAAGTCACCTGAAAAGATGAATAAGAATATTGCCTTGTCTGAAGAAGAAATAATTTCTGACCAATCAAAGGCCATTATGAAGAAATCTAGTAACTTCTATTGGCCAAGTATTCAGAACCTGAGTGCAGCTGCACAAAAGGAAAAATGTGGGTGGTGCTATTCTTGTAAAGTTGCAAATGAAGACAGGGATTGCTTGTTTAATTCTGTGGTGAAGCCTGTTTGGGAAGTGCCAAAAAGTACTTTAATTGGGCTTCAACCCAGGAAGATCCAGAATGGACACCTTAGAGAGATCATATGTCATATTTTCTCTCTTGAGGTTCGGTTACGTGGCCTTTTGTTGGGTCCTTGGTTGAATCTGCATCAAACTAATCTTTGGCAAAAGGATCTTTTGAAGACATCTGATTTTCTTCCTGTTAAACGATTATTGCTTCTGGTAAGGATATGTTTTCACTCTGTCAATCATTTCTACTAAAAGCATTAATACTATTTTATATCTGGTTACATGTTATGAGATACTTTTTGACATTATTAGTTGGCTTATTTTGGCACTCTTTGCTTTTCACAATTAGTGGAATCAAATAAAAAAGAAAACCATTTTTGTTAGTTTAAATAGTTTGACATTTGTGTGGTTAAGATTTTAACTTTGGTGGTGGTTTTATTTGCTTTCTGTTTCCATTTTTTCAATTTGATAAATGAAGAATATTTTAATAGAAGATATAATGTACATGTGGAGGGAGAAGGATCGAAAATTCTCCTAAAAGAAGAAAGAGAAGAAAAATAGAGTCAGATTGGCTCAAAGATGCAACAGAGTTGTTGCATCTCTTCGCTTATCAGTAATAGAAATTCCCTTTAGACAAACTGGGGCAGAGCACCATAGATAAGCTGTAAACATATGCTATTTGCTGACAAATTTATGGCAAAGAGACACCTTGATAATGTGAGCATTCCTTGAACCTAGTATACCTGAAAACCACCTAATATGCACCCTGCCATATAATCCTTGCCACCTTTATCGTTTGTAAGTTTTGAAATTTATCATTGGAAACTATTCCATGGTGTAAAAGACTAAGGTAGAATTATGGTTTACCTATATTTCCTTATGGGTAATTCTGTAAAGAACCAGCCTCCTTATGATATGAAAATAAATGATCTGGTATTTTGGGCTAGACGAAGTGGTAATTGTAATAGACATCAGTGAAGTGAGTGGTTTGAAGTCTAAGAATTAGAGACATGTCATTTGTGGTACTAATACCAAAAAATTCTTGAAAAAAATACTTCTAAATGGTTATTTGTTAACCACTCCTTAAACATGGCTAAACACTTTGGTGGTCATTAATTGCTCCTGGGCTGGAAATTGGAATGTGTAACAAGAAATCAATTTTCTAATTTTTCAATCCTTCAGTAATTTACAATTAGGATCTTCAAATACCAGGGGGAGTGGGTTATCATGATACACCTCATGTGCATGCATGTCTGTATGCTTTTTGTTACACCTTTACTATTCATGAAGCTGAAAATATGTTGTGGAATTACTTGATTGCAAGACTGCTTGCGAGAAAAGAAGCCTTTGTTTTAGCCAGCTGGCTAACATCATATGGCTTTTGGAATTACATTGTTCGCTGAATATTTCTATTTGAACCTCTGACACTGTCTTATCTTGGATTTGGCAGCTAGAATCCAATCTGCGTCCTCTTGCACTTTCATCAGATTGGTTAAAGCATGTAGACTCTGTTGCTACTATGGGATCAGCTACTCATGTTGTGGTCAACTCACGCACATCTTCAAGGCATGGTATTGGAAGGAAAAGGGCTCGGTATTCAGATATTGAAACGAGTTCATCTTCAAATACTGCTAGTGGATTGGGGATGTACTGGTGGAGAGGTGGTAGGCTTTCTCGAAAATTGTTTAATTGGAAGGTTTTGCCTCGCTCCTTGGTTACCAAGGCTGCTAGACAAGGTCTGCAAATTGTTCTTTTATATATCATGCTTGGTGGTTGATCAAGTTAGGAGCCTATTTATCTTATGATTATTTTAATCTGTAGGTGGTTGCACAAAGATACCAGGCATTTTATATCTTGAGAATTCAGATTTTGCAAGGAGAAGCAGATATGTTGCATGGCGAGCTGCTGTTGAGATGTCAACAAGTGTTGAGCAGCTTGCTTTACAGGTATGATTACCTGGCTAATGCTCATCATTAGCTGGTGCCAACCCATATGTTGTCTTCTATTCAGATGTTGTGGCTTGGCTGTTTGAAACACTGTTTACATGTTTTTGTACATTTAAAATGAAAACTTTGCAATTTATTATGTAGTGTAATATTTAATTTTAAGTGAGAAATTTTAGGCAATCACAATGTAAATAGATTAAATCTTTTAGGGAAAAAGAAGATCATGCATCTTCTACTGTCTTTTTTAATCTTGACTATCTATTATATGCCAATTGTTGTTTTTATTGTATTTATTTCCAGAAGTAAAGAGATGGGGACAGTAGTTCGAATTATGGATGCTATAGACTATGCATGCTATAGATTATTCGATGAGTTAATTGTTTTATGTTTTACTATAATATTGGAGATTGCACATAATGTGGTTTATATTTTATTACCTCTCAGCAGATTAATTTCTCATGTATTAAAAGGAATTTATAATACAACTACCTCTGTTTGCTTGAGTATAGAGATAGAATTGATTATGATTGTTGATCTCAGGCCTTGATATTACTTGGCATAAAACAAAGGTTTGTTTTAGAGAAAAGAGGGGAGTACAAATAGGAAGGGGATAAGTTATCATCCAAGACAGAAAATGTAATAAACAAGTGGCAGAGAAGTTCAAGAGTGCAACAGAGTTGTGTATTCTCTTGCATGGTTGAACCAGCAATATGCTGAGCCTGAGCACTATTGAGAAGTCATGAACATGGTCCTTATCACATAAAAAATCTAGGAGCAATGAGATGCTCCTAAAATGCAAGGCATTCTGCTCTGACCACATGCATGAAAGAACTGCAAAAAAGTTGTCGCTGAACTTTTGTCTCCTTATTTTTGTTCAAATCCTTCAAACAGACTAAGTGAAACTGATACAAAATAAATGGTAATGCCAAATCTTCACCCTGCTTGTCAAACACTGAAGTATAAAACCTCCCTGCACTGGAAACATTAGTGGACTACTGTTTCCAAACTTGAGCTGCACAAAACACAGATATTTGGAGAAGGTGCAATTTGGGGCCTACATATGTGAAAGATTATTCGTGATAAATTACTATCTATACCAAGGGTTTGATTGTTGAAGATATTGAGATGTACAAACCTTTGCCTAATAGAGAAAGAGTGAGAAACTGAAATTAGGCTTACTGTCTTGGTTGCTTTTGTTGTAGTGATTTTATCCAAAAGATTAGAAAAAAAAAGTTATATGACTACCAGAAGGGAAGAATGTTGCCATCCAAATTTGAATAGGACCCCAATATGAGCACGAATAATTGTTCACCCATATGAGCATGAGAGTTAAAGTGATGTAAATATATTGAAGTCCTGATATTGTACACACATGTTGGTATCTTTCTTTTCAATTTACACTCTGGCCTTTCATAATTGGTAGAAGCTGATGAACTTGACTTCATTTTGTGTAATGAAATAGGTTGTAATTGAAGAAAACTATTCATGTTTTCAGGTTAGAGAGCTTTATTCAAACATAAGGTGGCATGATATTGAGAACAACCATCCTCTATATGTGTTGGACAAAGAATCTAGAAAATCAGTCAGGCTGTTCAAAAAAGCAATTGTACGCAGAAAGTGCACAGAAGGGCAATCTGTGAAATTCCTTCTCGATTTTGGTAAAAGAAGGGCTATTCCAGATATTGTTACTAAACATGGTTCTTTGTTGGAGCAATCCTCAAGTGAGAGGAAAAAATATTGGCTGGAGGAGTCTTATGTTCCATTGCATCTTCTAAAGAATTTTGAGGAAAAAAGAATTGTCCGCAGGTCCAATGATAAGAAACTCGGAAAAATTCTTGAGATTGGTAGAGTAAACAAGAAAGTTCCTCAACAAAGGGGATTTTTGTATTTGTTTTCCAGAATGGAAAGATCTGATTGTCATCAGTGTGAGCACTGCAACAAAGATGTTCCAGTGAGGTATTTGCAGTACTCTCTCTCATCTATATAACTGTTGACAAGTTCCTTCTCTGATACACTATATATGGCTTTTCTTTTCTTTAATTTTATTTTAATTTTTTCGTTAGATTACTATAATATTCCTGTCTGTTAACTAAAGAAGAAAGACTACATGGATGAATAAAAGACTCTATGAAAGGAATATTCCTTTCCTGAATATCCTCCCAGAACCTGTCATGAAAACCATAACCCATACTTGGTTATAGTTGTCTATACTATACCAACATATACCTAATAAATACTTCTTAAGCAATAAATCTAGTGTTCCCATTATAGAGTTTGTTGAGTTTTCATCAACACAACATCAATACATATTCTTGTCTCTACAACATTAGCTTTTAACAAATGTTATGCATATAAACCTTTAATATATAGGACTGTGGAAGGATTATAATTATTTGGCTAAAATTAGGGTTTTCTTGAGTGGCTTGATGGTAGATAACATAGGACAGTAGAATGGTCAAAAGATTTGATGGGTTAGTCTTATGAACTGGTTATTTTTCAATTTTGGGTTTGCCCCACATGTGAGGCCACCTAGTGAGAATATTTATGGAGATTTGTGGAGTGTATTAAATCTCAGCAACAATCTGGATTTCAGTATACTGTGATTGTGGTTTGAGAAATTGAGGGGCTACTCCTTGCTGTAGTTGTCATGGGTCTTAATGAATTTCTCCATTTCTTCAGTAGTCAGAATCAGGAATTCATCATAGGTTGAATTGTTGAACCATGATAATTTGATTCATGGAGTTATTAGACGATTGATTGTCTTAATTTCTTGTGCTGCTTTTTTTTTCCCACTGTCATAAATTTTTATTTTATCATTATAGATATACGTGTCACTTCTTGCTTTATGCATCTTTCTATCTTGTGTGGTACTTGTGGCAGTAAAGGCAAGTGCACTAAGATCTTACTGCGTTATTAAGCACTTAATTTGCTACTTAAAAATATACTTATAAATATACCCTTTTATGAAATTGGCAGGGATGCTGTTAGCTGCCTTCATTGCAAAGGTGTGTTTTTGTCTTTTAATCTGACCTTTTTTTCCTCATTATTTTGCTTTGTATCTCTAGTGAATGGTTTTATTTGTTTCACAATTTTTTTTTATTTCTCCTTTTTATATTCCATTTTAGCATATAACTTGTATCTCTCTGAACCTGACATCCTTTCAATGTCTTCACATATGAATGTAATCACTATTCATCAATATATTGCTCTTAATTTCTTTGTTTATGAAGCCTTTTCAACGTTGTCTGATTATTGGTAGGCACATGGGTTTAGTCACAATCACAATTTTTTATTGTCATCTCAACATAGTCTTCTTGACAGAGTTAATATGGTAATTTATTTTCAATTGAAGTTTCAATAGCCTGTATGGAATACTGGTTAATGATTCAGCATTGTGGTGAAATATTCAGCTCATGTATTTAACACCATTGGTCTCCATAAAAAACATGTCTGGATTATAAGATGCTGAAATGTGCATAGGCTTTTTTTCTTTTTAAGAAAAAGGGAGTTGCATTTTGACATGCTAAAACTATAGCTCATATGTCGATTGGAGAATAATTAGAAAAGCCTAACACACTCTATACGAATGCATAAGAATTTGGAATTTGTGGCTGGAACAAAAGAGCTCAAATTACAAGTTCCATGTTGCACTAAACAAGGGAATGGAAGGAAGTTAGGGAGGGAAAGGGACAGTGAGATTGAGAAAAAGAAAAACTGGAAATAATAGATTGACATTTTTAGTCGAACACTAAAGTGAGTTCAGCTTTATAGCTAGCAGCCTTGTGTAAAGGGTCTGTGAAATAAACATCTGACAACAATATAAGCTGACAATAAAAATGTGTTCCTATGTGTTAGGGATAAAGGATAAAACCATTCATATTTATTTTCCTTTTGTATTTAAGCTATATGGATAGTTGGTTCATGATATTTAGTATCATGGCTTCTATGACTATTTGGATATTGGACTAGAGTTCGACATTGTCTATCATAGTAAAAAGTTGAATTTTAGCATTAGGTAGGTGGATCTAAGCATTAATCATGCTTCAAGCCTAATGGCTTTTGTGTGATGGTGTGTTAATAATGTAAATATGTAATGTAAAACCTTTAATGTGACTTCACTTATTAACTTAAAGCTTTTGGGATAGTTGATTCATGAATCATGACACTATATTATGCCAAACAGATATCATTAATCTATTATTGAGATTTTCATCATATATTGTTCAATTTTATAACCAATTGATGCAAATATTGTTATGTTTGCTATGTTGTGGGTTTTAGTTATGTAGGCATTCTTTAGTAGCTAGTTGTCAAGTGCACGTGCCAATGTGCCATACATCTAGTACCCCGGTCCAAGTCCAAAATGTTTTAGGTTGCCTTTTTCCTATCAATTATAGTTCATTATTTCACTTTGTCCTCAGTACTGAATGAAAAGGTTAGGATGTGGCCAAAGTACTCCTTGTATGACTAATGCAATCCTCCCTTCTAGAGCTAACTCTTAGAAAGAATTGAGTTAGGCCCGCCCAGTTCATTCTCAATTATAATGTGGTATTTAGAGCCTATCCCTGTCTTGGTGTTGAATCTCCAGTAAATTTCAAGTCTGTAAGCAGAGTATGTTTAGATTTCATATTGATTAGGTATATGACTGAACCAAAGTACTTCTTATGATGACTATGACAATCCTCTCCCCTAGAGCTAGTTTTTTTTATTTGGTATCCTTGTGTTTTTTCAGTTTTACAGTATATGGTAATTCTGTGATGGAAGCTACGAGTACTTTCTGTAATCTCTTTCACATGAGCAATAGTTTGTGTGTATGTTTCACTAAATATTTATTTGTTTTATTTGGCGCTCTGGTGCTTTTTCATCGTTGCGTTCTGAGTGTATTACATAAATATATTTGCATTTCAATATCTCATTATTTATTTAATAGGATATTTCCACAAGAGGCATGTCAGGAAATCTGGTGGCACAAGAAGTACAAAAAGTGCATATACGTGTCACAGATGTCAGGATGGCTTGCGTGCAAAGACTAATACTAACAAAAGGAAAGTTGAGTCAAAACTGCAGAATATTCAAGCAAAGAAACGTAAACATGTGTCTTCAGTTTGTAAATCAATGAACCTCACAGGCAATAAAAAGGCATTGAGTAAGCTACGGCAATTGAGATCTCGAAACAATAAGATCTCATCAAGCGTACCTCTTCGCCGTTCTACTAGGAAGGCCAAATCCTTGTATATGCATAGTCAAATGAATGGAGGACATAAAAAAGGAATGCAAGGTAAAAAGAATGTAGGACGTAAAAAGGGAAAGCAAAATAAATCCAAGAAGGTGGCCTCTCAGAAGTCCAAGGAAACTACTGGCCAATATAAGAATTTGCCAGTAACTACTGCACATAAGAAAAGAACAAAACCCTGTAACAGTTACTGGCTTAATGGTCTTCAGTTGTCTAGAAAGCCAGATGATGATCGAGTAATGCTGTTTAAAGAGAAAAAACTTGTTTTCTCCTCCGAAGATTTGTCTGAGTCTCTTGATTATCCTAAATGCAGCCTTTGCTGTGGAAATGGGGGCACCTCAATGTATGTTGCTTGTGAAATCTGTGGAGGTTAGTACTTTTCTTCCTTTCCGTTTGTTTTCTTCCCTTTTGGGATAGGGGATGGGTGGGGAAAGGAGACACTAACACTTGTAGCAAGTTAACAAAATAATATTATAAATGTCTGTACATGTTTACTGCACCTTGTGAACGTCTATCAAAATATATTTTGAACATACTATGCTATTATGCAGATTGGTTTCATGGGGATGCTTTTGGGCTCAATAGGGAGAATACCATACAACTTATTGGATTTAGATGCCATGTTTGTCGTGATAAGCCTGCTCCAGTCTGTCCCCATATGAAGATTAACACATTGTCTCACACTGAAGGTGATGCTGCAATTGAGTGTGGAGAGGAGTTAGCTAATCCTGTTTCTCCCCATCCTCTCAGTGAGGTATGTTTACCTGTTTTAAACCTTAATTATTGATTGACCTAGAGAATGAAATGATGAAAGGTCAAGTGAACAAATCATGTGCCTTTTAATCATTTACAATGCATAAAATTTTGGATGGGGAAATTTGTTTAGTGTTTTGTGTCATAGCTTCTACTGTGCATACAAAGGTTTCCTAATATTAGAAAATATTTGTTAGTTGTATGTATGTTAAACTTTTGGAGATACTTGTTTATTAGAGGATTTGATACTCGACTGGATTCAAGTTTGGTATCCTATTCAATTCAATTATGTGCTGTGGTCAAGGCAATTGTTGGGCAGTTTATCTGCTTGTATTGGTTTGGTTTCGATGATACAGGAGAATAATGTTAATTTCTTTTTCTTTTCTTTTCTTTTTTTTGAGGGGGATTGGTGGTGCTGAAAATAATGCACAGAATTTTGTTTTGGTGCATTGTGAAATGTGATAGGTGTAAATCCTATCTAGAGTGAGATTACACGCAGAATGAAAATTGGAAGCAGAGATATTGGATTATTTTGAGAAAATAGGAAGATACAAAAATAATGAGCAAAGATAGTTGGAGAAACGCTTGCTCCCAGCCAAGGAAGAATTTCCCTAAGCCTCGAGTTAAAATCTGAAAAATGGAAAATATATGTGCGACCCCTTGGGTTGAATATACTTGCACTGTATTTTTAGTAATAGATCCAGCCTTAGTTAGTGGCCTACTGGGTTAAATGAATCTTGGTTCTGCTAGTTTAGTTGGATCCAGATTCCTATCCGAATGATTTAAGGCTACATCATTTAATAAATTTGATATCTCATGTCATGTAGTTGTTAACATAGTAAAATTCATTAGATGAGGGGTCAACACTGTATTAGATGATTGTTATAAAAGTTTTACGTTGACAATCTCTCAAAATTAAACTCATCAATTTTTTCTTTCCAAAAAATATTTCGTGACATGTATGCATGCTTCAGAAGCAATTTCTGTATGTTTTCTTCAGTTGCATACAGATCTTTCTCTCTCTAATAATTTGGCAGTTCTGCTGCTGTTAGGAAAAACTGATTGTCTTTAGAATATGGAGTTAATAGTTTTTTTGTCAAATTTTGCCTCACGCTGTGTACATTGATGATAACATGTTCGCTAAAGTTTTTATAGTTTCCCCTTCTTTTTGAGAAGATGACATAAAATGTTTCTGTAGTTTAAGTTTTACAATAAATAATTGAAGTGAAAATTTTGCTTGTCAATGCAGATCCCTTGCGATTAATACTGTTGGCTGTCATGGATTAAATCTTCACTATGCTGGGGTTGTGATACATTTGTTTGTGGAAAGATGCATATTAATACGACTAGTTAGTTAGTAGATATTGGGTTTACAGAAATCAGATCCAGATTCTTCAAGTAGAGGTTTTTCTTCTTTAATATGAGGAATCATTTGGGTTAAGCTGAAAATGGTTAATACAGTAGTTGGTGAGGAGCCTTCTAGTGTAACAAAGTATTAGTCACCAAGTAAGAAGTGGTATTAACCTTGTCTTTTTCAAAATAAAATTAATGGTGGTTAAAATGAAGAATTTGTAGTCTTAAGGATGCGTATGATTTCTTATATTTGATGGTTAGAAATAAACTTTTATTTGTGGTATCTCATAGACAACGAGTTGTTATATTTTCCCTCGTGAGTGTCCCAATTCTATTAGTATGCTTATTGGTGGTTGTACATTATGTCCAATTTCCCCAACTAAAAATATTAAGTTCTTTAATTTATTCGTTGCAGATTCCATGTATGTGCAAGATTCTTATACTTGTTTATTTTCGTAGCAGGTTTGATGATTGGCATTGAAAGGACAGGGCGGGACATCAGATGCCAGCTTCTTGTAGGGTTGTTTTTCTTCCTGCAGGATTTGGTGGCAAAAGTTCTATTTTTTTCTTAAAAAAAAAAAACAAAAAGTTGTTAGACAGGTTCGCTGTAGGAGGAATGATGGCTTGATCAAGCTTCTGCTCTATTCCCTTCTATTTCAACTGTCCTCGAAAGGGAAAGAAGAATAATGAAACAAATGCTAGCTCAAAAGGCTGAAGATAATTGTAATCAGGGCATAGTGGAGTTCATACATATTCATGATTGTTATTCTAACCCATCAGCATTCATTGTAGCAGCATTCTTTAATGTAGGACCTTTTCTACCCCAGAACTGATTTAACCGATGTCTCGTCAAATTAACTCTTTTCAAGAAATGGAGTATATAAATCATAGCAGATTTAGGTAAAGAGAATATTGATAATCGCAGATAGTAAATAGAACCCTTTTCTGTATATTTTTTTGGGTGTCATTGACCAGTTTGGAATTATTTTCGATTTTTTTGTAACCCCGAGCTCCAAGGTGTATTCACTATTATGTGCATCATTTTAACACGCTGCTTATTCCAAGATTCTCTGTATATCATACTACTTGTAGCTTCAACTAAACAACCATATTCCCTATTATTTGCATTTCCTTTCATCTAAATTGTTAAAAAGTGTAGTTTTTGACAATTTAAATAACTTTTTTTTAAAAGGTAAGGCTTTAATTGTGTGTATGTATGTATATATTACAGTTTTGTATAAAACAGGAAAAAAAAAGTAATAAGATGAGTGATGTGATGAAAAGAGAAAAAAAAAAAAACTACTATTATTAATAAAATATATTATAAGATTTATATTAAAGAAAGATTTTGAAAAATAACTAATTAATTGATCAGAATTGATCGGATTTAATTTTTTAAAACAAATTTATGGTCATAGAATCTTAAAAATGAAAAAAAAATGGAATGTATTTAACGAAAATTGATTAGAATTTATTATATATAAAAGTTTTATGTTGATTCCCTATAATGTTAAAAACACGAATAAATTATCAGAAAGCTAACTGTAAAATGTTAAACGAAAAAGGTAAATGAATTACCTTAATTTTTTCTTGATTTAAATAATTCTATTAATTATTTGATATATTGGCTTATAAAAATGTGTATTAAAAACAAAAATTTATTTGAAAAAATAATCAAGAAAGTATATATGTAGCAATTAGTAAATACATTTACAAAATCTTATTTTATATATTATTAAATTACTTTTTATTTAAAAGATACTACTATTGATCAATAATTAGTAAATTAAATAAATTTTAACGTGTTAGAAATAAGCTAAATCCAAAATTTAAGCATTAACAGTAATCATTGAGACATAATTATAATCCAAATAAATGAACCAATTTGAGTATCTTAATTCTTTTCCTTTCACTGTATCATTAAATAAGTCTTAAATTGGTTGTAAGAATAATTTCATCTTCATCCACAAAAAGTAATTGTTATATAAATTTTTAAAATTTGTCTAAATTTTTTTTTTTTTTTTTCTTTTGTGCTTTTGCAATCATATCAATTCTCAAAATTTATTTAAACAAGTAAGTACATATATTTTTTAAGTTGATAATTTTCAGTAAAATTATTTATTTTTATATTTTCTTTCTTTTATAAGAGAACTATATCCTCCATTGATTATCGATCTAATTTTTTTTGGTTGTCAATATAATTATTTATAACAAAATAAGCATAAATTATATTATTTCTTTATTTTATATTTGATGAGTGAAAATAAAACTACGTTACTTTTAAGTGGTATTATAGATTAAATTTTATTTGTACATGGTTAAATTGTATTAAAATTATCAAAATTTTGTTTGATAATTTTAATAACATGAAGTTAGGTTTGATCAAATTAGGTAATTCAACTGATATGTATTCATATTTTTAAATTTATAAAAAAAATTCAAAATAACATTAAATATAAAAATTTTATCATAAACATATTTATATATTTTATTTAAGAAATTTTAAACGTATTAATGATGAATAAAATATATAATAAAAATTTAAGATTATTAAGTTTTAATCGAATTTACTATATTTAAGACTTTAGAGTATCATAATAGGTTTGATAACAAACATGATATAAATTTTTTTAATTAGATTTAATTATATAATCTAAATTAATTAATTTATTTATTTTGACCAAGCTAATTTTATTAAATTTATCACATATAACTATTAATTATATTCAAGTAAATAAATATATTTTTTACATTCACAATTTTCTATAATTTTATTGATTTTTATGTTTTTCTTTTATTTATTGGAAGACAGACATGCTCCAATAAAATTCAATAGACTTTTCCTAACATTCTCAATTCATAAGTTATATTAATATTTGCATCAATTTAACCCTATTTACATGGACTTTCAATATTTCTAACGTTTGCATATAATGTAATATAACTCATTTAATTATTTTTTTCGTTGTATTTGTATCCATTCACCTATAACTTTTTAGGTATTTATATTGGAGTTAAATTTATTATCATTTTTAAAAAATTTATGACAACAAAAAATAATATACCTATGTTACTTATCTTTAAATTTAATTATTGTTCTTTCACTTTTATTTAAATAATTATTATTAATTTAATAATTTATTTTGTAAAATTTTAATTTATTATTTATTTATTTATTGTATAGTTATTTTTTTATAACTAATTGTCAACTAAAATCACCAATGATTACTGTATTAAATTTAATTAAAAAATTAAATAAATGTAAAAGTTAAATTAATAGTACAATGAAGTATTTTATAATTTTCTTTAATATATTTATATTTCATAATATTTTTTCTGATAGTTTTTTATTACAAATTAATAAAAAAAAATTATAAATTTTATTTAAAACATTTTTTAAAATTTAATATAATTTTAATTAATTTTAAGTCAATTAATTTTATAAAAATTGTAAACAAATTTGTGCAATGAGCATAGTTATTATGATTTATAAAAAAAATAACAACAAACTAAGCAATGTCAATAAAATATATTTATTTTGTCACTACTCAATTCTAAAAGAACTAAACAATGAAGAGATAATTAGACTTGATTTATAAAAATTATTAACATTTATTTAAAAAATTGAAAAAATAATAACAATCAACAAGAAGTAAGTGCAAGAAGTAAGTGCAATCTGAGTGAACATAAAAATACGAGACAAATTCACATATATACATAATTCATTAATATGTGCATAAAAAGGGACTTCTGCAAGGTTATTTTCTGCATAACTTTAGTATGTGTTTATCAGTTCATGACATCCTTTGAGTTTGACATATACATACATGAAAAAGAAAGGTTACTATATTGAAGCACTGGTTAGTAGTATGGTAGTTTGTTTTTGTGCCACTTTCAAGGAGGATCTTCTTTTGTATTTTTTCTATTCAACAAATTTCCTCTTTTCTTTGAGGAAACAACTCCTAATATTTTTTTTTCAAAAGCTTGCAATCAAATCCATGCATCCTATCTAAATCAATACAAGTAAGCAATCAAAGACCAAGGGAGGAAGGTAATTTAACCAATAGAATTACTTTCCTTTCTCAAAGAGGCCCTTAATGTTCAATTATCGACAATCATAAGACAAGCAAACATATACTCGAATGCTGCTAATATAATAAAATTTTTAAAAGAAATGCAAGGACATTCAACTAGAAATACAAACAAAGCTTTGATACTTGGCTATTGTGTTTGCGTATAAATAATAAAAACAGGCAAGGCAAGTAAAGGCATTGATGAAAGCATGAAAAAAAATAAATATATCCATCATAATATTCCCATTGTTCAAAGATACAAAGTGGGACAAATCTATGATCCATAAGCATGTATACTTCTGAACAGTAAAAAAACTTGACCTAACACCCCCCTTTCCCCTAAAACCAAAATTTTCAAGAAAATCATATTATTAAGTCTGTATAAGAACAATGGTACCGCCTCCGATGAGCAATTTCAACCTACTGAACAAGGCAGGGTAACCTGACCAATTTATGCTATTGGCTACAAGCACTGACTGACTCAAAGTGAAGAATAAGCAAAATGGCAATCTGTACCCACAATGAAGGATTTGTTGAACCACCCTCTTCAGACACAAACCAACCAAGCTACACACATCTTCAGTCACAGGCTCAGCTACCATAATGTTGATTCCGAGCAGCCATACTCGCAACCTGAGCCTGCAACTGAGCAGCTCTAACTTTGGCGGCGGTGGCGCGGTGAAAGAATTGCTCCCTGGACAGTGCCCTCACACTCCTCAAGTACTGATCAAACGGCAGAGACCCCACCTGAACAGCCTTATCCAAAGCATACAGGGTGTCTTCAATAGCCAAATCCGCAGCAGTGGACTCAAGCATCTGTTTAGAAAGCACATCAACACACTCAAAAGCATCCTCAGCATTCTCCGAACCCCTAAACTTCTTCCCCTGGTTATCCCTCAACCAACCTTCGAGAACATCACTGTTCATCAAGACCATCTGCAGCTGCTGCTCCAGAGCCTCCATCTCCTCCTGCATCTCCTTCAAACCCTTGTTGAGATTCTCCTCTCGCTGCTTCAGCACCGCCTGCAAACTGAACAAACCCTCCATTTCAGCCTCCCTGGTCTTCCTCAACCCAGCAACATCGTTATGCACCATCTCCACAAGCTTGTTAATGGCATTGCGCTTGTAGACCTCAGCAGGGTCCTCGGTGTGAACCCTGGAAGAAGCAGGAGCACCAAGGGAAGCGTAAGGGGAAGGAGGGTACGTCCTGGGAGGGGGATACCCAGATGAAGAATTGGACAAATTAGAAGAGGAAGATGGAAAATTGGGAGAGGGGGAGGGAGAGGGATTAGGGTTAGGTCTTCGTTGGGAATAAAGGGGAGGATCACGACCAAAAAGGTGGCTGAGAGAGAGAACAAGTTCAACCAAATTGGAACTAGGGTAAATCCAACCCTGCAAATAAGGAACGGAGACGAATCCAGAAGGGTTAACATGAGGGTGTGGGCGTTTGATGATCATGTCGCGCGTGGGATTGACGTACACGCAGGGAGGGTGGCGAGGGTAAGATTCCATGAGCCAGATAACAACGGGGATGTTGTACGTGACGCCTTGGAAGGTCATGGGGATGGTTCCGTCGGCTTGGAGGAGATTAACGGAACGACCGTCGTTGTGGGTGAAAGTTGCCGTTTTGGGTTCCAGAGAAGGGAAGGTTGTGGTCAGGGCAACCAGATGCTGCCGGATCAGCCATTTCGTGTCCTCCGAGTACGGCACGGCGGAGGGGCCACGCTGGGAGAGCACTGAGTTCAGAAACTGCGCCACTTGCGTGTTCGGCGATTGGACCATCGATGCTTTGATTTGAAGAAGCAGAGGGTGATGGCTATGGGGGATGATGATGATGATTAATGGGTTATGTTATGTGTGGGATTTGAGCTTGGAAATTGCTTACAAGGTACGGTGCCTTGAGGCTTGGTTTACGCGTTGCCTCCTCCATATCATAGCCTCTTTCATATTTCACTACCATATCAAACGACGTCGCTTCATTCACTGCATTTTATGATTTTATGTTTTTCTGATGCCTGCTTGTTCCGGTTGGTGCATGAGAGTTCACTTCTAACAAATATGTTAATGAGAAGTAATATGATAAAAATATTTAATATACACATGAACAAAAACTTTTAGAAAATTAACTACACTATAAACATAATACAATATAATTTAAAATGTTTAATTATATATTAAATATAAACTGATAAATAAAATAATACTTTTTATTTTTATTTGTTAATTTATTTAAGCTTATATTAGTTGTTATAATTTTAAATATATCTATATTTTTTTATAAAAATTAAATAATTATTTAAAATCAATACTTAATAAATATATGTAAAATTAACTAGACTAAATCCTTATTTTAATTCTTTGAAAGATTTTGAGTCTAATATCTTAGTTCCTAAGAAGCATACTCTGTTAATAGATAGTAGCAAAAATCTTATATATTATGTTAAGTGTCATGTCAAAAGTTCAATTGGCTAAAATGACATCATTTTGAGGAGTTTTAAAAGTGAATGTGTCAAAACACTTGTATTTGGCCAAAACAATATTATTGGAAGAAATTGAATTGCATATTTTCTCTTTTGTCTTGGAGAAGAACCTTAAGATTTATTGCATATTTCACCAAAGTTGTGTTTAGCGTTGGAATATTTAGAGATTGAAAGGTAAAAAGTCTAAACACATCGCTGCAAAGAAGGATATCAGATGGAATAGAATGAGGAGTCCAATATAAGAAGCTTCAAAATTCAAAAGATGGGATAGAATGGGAAAGTTTTTATGAAATGGAAAAACAAGTTCAAGGAAAAGGTTATGTGGATGAAATGTAAGGCTATAAATCAGTGAAAGGTTTAAGAGATCAGATATTGGCTAATTCTAGGCCAAATCTTCTAGAGGTTATACTAGTCCAGAGGGTCGGAATGTAAAGAAGGCCAAAAAGTGAGAAAATACTTACATCTTTTGACATAATGCTTTGCTTGCCAAACCTATACCCATTTGCATTTGCTATCACGATGGTTGGTAAAATGCTGGAAAACAATATCATAGACATGCTAGAAACATTGGTGTAGAAGTGAAAGAAGCTTTTCCCTATTTAAGTTATAAATTTCAGCATTTTTACCTAAGTTTCTTTTATTATAAATTTCAAACAAATCTTATTACAAAGAGGGGAAAAATAAGAAAGTTACAATTTTTTACACAATAATAAAACTTTATTACAAATTGAAAAAACTCAATGTTAAAGGAGGGTTTGTTGACGAAATTGAACAATTAAAATGAAAAATTCTCAAATTTGGAGAAAAACACTATCTTCATCATTACTAAGAACAAACTCAGATCCAATTATAATCTTTTAGCCAATTTACTTTTAGAACATCTCAAAACGATATCGTTTCATCCACCTGGACTTATAATATGACATTTAACATGATATGTCAGCTTTTTGTTAATGTTTGTTAACGGAGTTTGCGTTCAAGAAGTAAAATGAACGACAAAGATGAAATTTAGAAACTAACGCGACATTTTTAATGTTTTAAAAACTAAAATGCCAAACTTAAAATCTTTCAGAAACTAAAATAGAAATTTAGCCAATTAACTATATTATAATATTAATATAACAAAAAAATATTAATTACATGGTAAATTAAAATACATAATTATATATTACATATAAATTATAAAAAATAATTTAATTTTCAGTTTTTATTTTATTTGTTAATTTATGTAAATATTAATGAGTTATTATATTTTACATGTATATTTATATTAATATTTTTTTACAAAATTATTTTGAGCAAACAATCTACTTATTTTTGTTTGTATTTATGTTTATGTCTATTTATAAAATTTATAATATAATACGCATAGGAACAATTTTATTTTATTATTTTGATGTTTACAAGTTGGTAAAGAATTTGTAAAAAACTTAAGATATAAATTATAAATTAATAATATATTGTTAAAGTTTATTAAATTATATTATAATTTGTATTCTAATTGTTTTTATTATATTATTGTAGAATTATTTTTTAAAGATTTTGTAGAATTTTAAAAATATATATAATCAAGATTTTGTATTTTATTTAAACAGTTATGTTATATAGAATATTTTTACTTTATTATTATTATATATATACTATCAATTCTGTTATAAATTTATATTATTATCTAAATTTATAATTTTATAAAATATATTTTTATATTTAAATTATAATTTTTATAATTTATTTTTAAAAAATTATAAAATTATAAATAAATTCGTGCAATCTACGAACATAATTACTATTTTATAATAATTTATATTTTCCACAATTATAAGTTTTGAAATTTAACAAAATTTATTCAATATTTTTTATATTACTTTATCATCTCCTAATTCATGCAATTATATTAAAAATAAATAATTTATACAATAAAAAATTATATATATATATATATATTAATTAATAATTATATTTGTAGGTTGCACAAATTTATTTATAATTTTATTAAATTATTTTTATTTAAAATAAATTATAAGAAAATTTTAATTTAAATCTAGAAATATATAATTTTAAGAAATTATAAATTTAAATAATATTATAAAAATATAACAAAGTCGATATTAAATTAATATTATATATAATAATAGAAAATTAAAAATAATTTATATGATAGCATAATTAATTGTTTAGATAAAATTCTACAAATGTTTTAGAAAGTAACTCTGTAATAATATAATAAAAAATTTATAATACAAATTATAATATAATATAATAAATTTTTAAAATATATTATTAATTTGTAATTTACATCTTAAATTTTTTTGTTATAATATATTGTTCAAATTCTCTTCTTTGTCAACTCCTAAATAATAAAATAAATTTATTGTTAATCATATTATATTATAAATTTTATAAATAAATATAAGTATATTGTTTTTTCAAAATAATTTTATAAAAAAATATTAATGTAAATATACATTTATAATATAATAACTCATTAATGTTTACATAAATTAAAAAATTAAAATAAATTATAATTTTTTATTAATTTATATGTAATATATAATCATACATTTTAATTTATTGAGTAATTGATATTTTTTGTTATATTAATAATATATTGTAGTTAATTTTACTTTAGTATGCATGAATTTATCTGCACTAAACCAATTATAATATTGTATCATTGATTAAAAATATAAAAAATTACACTTGATATTAATATATGATTTTTTATTATATAAAATACTCAATTTTTTTTATACAATTGCATGAATTAGGAGATGATAAAGAAATATAAAAAATATTGAATAAAATTTTGTTAAATCTCAAATTAATTGTTGAAAATATAAACTATTTGTGATATATAAAAATTTAATGCAGACAGTGGTATATAAGCAGAGAAAAAGTAGGGTTGTTTACGCGTCGTTTCGGCGATGATGCCTTTGAATATGCGTACCCTTCTGGGCCTATTAGCCGTTGCCCTTTCCTTTTGTGGCCCATTCTCTTCCAACGTTCAAATTATTTGAATATCCACAACGGCTAGTACAACCTTTTAAGCCAACTCTAACCCCTAAATTCAACATGACCTTTCTGCACTCTTCAATTCCTATTCTTCTTCTTCTTCTTTCAATTTGCAAGAAAGAAGATTAAGATAAAGATCTAAAATATCTAATCTTTCTGCAATTCCACTGAATCATATAATATGGCTACCAACACCATTCATGGCAACACTGAAACTGCTCAACCCAACATTGCTCCCTCAAAGCAGCCTCTCCCGCCTCCCAAAACCGTTGATTCTCAATCTGTCCTCAGAAGGTTTCACATTCATTCATCACCACATCACATTTTGCGCTTTCTTCTTCTTTTATGTTTCTAACTATCTTTTGTGTGGCTTAACAGACTCCAGTCTGAATTGATGGCCTTGATGGTAAGAATTCTATATATCTTTTTCTGATTCTGTTTTTACTTTGCTGTTTATAGATTTCGGATTTAGGGTGCCAATGTCATTAGCATAATGTTATAGAATATTTGGTTTCACTAGTGGGATCTACCTTTATTACTAGTTCTAGCTTTCTTTCTAGAGTATGTTTCGACACACACTTGATGTTGATGCTGTGTCAGATGAGTGGGGATTCTGGAATATCTGCGTTTCCTGAGGAGGACAACATATTCTTTTGGAAAGGAAAAATAACAGGAAGCAAAGATACGGTGTTTGAAGGCACAGAGTATAAGTTATCCCTCTCCTTTCCCAATGATTACCCTTTTAAGCCTCCAAAAGTGAAATTTGAAACAACCTGCTTCCATCCCAATGTGGATGTGCATGGCAACATATGCTTAGACATACTTCAGGATAAATGGTCTTCTGCTTATGATGTCAGAACAATTCTTCTTTCTATCCAGAGTCTGCTTGGAGGTAACTAAATGTTTTATTAGAGTCTTTAACATCAATTCTGCTCAAAAGTGAATTCATTTCAGTTATAATTTTTATGATAAAATGTGGTTTAATGTTATTTTGAAGACTTCTCAAACATGTACAACGTTTATGGATTTAAGTTTTTGTTATTATTGATTCCTTTTTACTTTTCTTTTCATAATTTAGAGCCAAACATTAGTTCACCACTAAATCCACAAGCAGCGCAGCTTTGGGGCAATCAAGAAGGTAACAAAAATTAACACTCTTGAATTCTTTTTGGAAAGATTTTTTATGTTTAGCTTTCCTAAAGAGCTAAAATGATTTTATTCAAATGTGTTGTACAGAATACAGGAAGATGGTGGAGAAGTTGTACAAATCTCCTAGTGCTTAGTGGGGGTGGGGTTAGCCTTGAAGATCTTGCTTGAAGTTTTTATCACTATTGTTGACAAGACCATTCTGTCTGATTTGGTGGAGAAGAGAAAGGATGAACCCATGTTTATTTTTGGGTGTCCTTTCCAGATAGGCATTCTTACATTCTGAATTCTTACAAATCATTGCATGTTTCTCTCCTTGAAAGTGGAAGTTAAACATTTGTTTATGGTCCCTTTACCCCTTCTTCCTCTGAATTCTTAAGGCGTGAATGTTTTAGCTTAATCACCAGTAGCCTTTCAAGGTAAACTTTCCCAGAATTCTTACAAAAAAATTAATATAAAAAATAATAAAATTTCTCAAATAAATTAGAACTTATCTATTATAATATCTATATTTTTTTAACTTTTTTAAAATTTCAAAAAATAAATTTATTTTTAATTTATAAAATAATAATAATTTTTTATACTATTTTTTTCATTATAATTTCTCTTTACAAGTTCACACAAATAAGCCATAAAATATTATTTCATAATATTACGTAGACTTCATCTAACATATATCATAATACTACGATGGAAACAACATTAAATAGAAAATAAAATAGAATATGTCATTACAACCATTATCCTCTCATAATTATGTAAAAGACAAACCCCTCAATCACTTTCCCCAAGTCCAAATAAGCAAACGGCCCGGGGCCAACAAATTAGAAAAATTATAGAAAATAAAAAGGGAAGTGGTAAGAAATTTCATAATATCCTTAAATGAAAGTAGAGAAGGAGAGAATGTTTTTTTTTTTTTTTTTTGTGGATATCAAATCCTAAAATATTGAACAGAGAGAGAGAACATGAGGGAGGGGGGAACTTTTTTATTTTTGTTTTTAAAATATAGAAAACTATACAAAATTATAAAAAAAAATAATGTGTAAAATGTTATAATAAAAAATATCTTTTATTAATTTAATTTTTTAATATATTTTTAACATAATTCAAATTTTTTTTTACTTCTTTTTTCATCCAAACAAAGTAAAAATGATTTTTTTAAATTATTTTTTCTATTATATTCAAATATAAAATCTTTTTAATTCTATTTTTCAATACTTTAAATTAAAAGAAAATGGAGCAAGAGGAAAAATAATAAAGAAAACACATAAGAATGACGAAAACAGAAGTTTTTGTAGATATATATATATATATATATATATATATATATATATATTTTAATTTTGATTCAAAAATTACAAAAATGCATTGTTTTCTCGTATTCTCTTTTTCAAACAGCAAATTTCAAATCCAACATGCCATTGGATACTCCAAAGTAGATTTTGTAGATTACAACAACGTATTTTTGTTTCAAGTATACTAAATTTAAAAGTATGCGTTGTATACAGATCTTTTATTATTGAAAACTAAAGTTTAAATACATTTTTGGATAATTTACTGTGATGACTGACGACGAGCAATTTCATTTTATTTTTTAAAATTTATAACAATTTTATTTATTAAACCGTTTCGATATTGATTCAAATTTTAGCATGCACATGACATTTAAAGGACTTTGATAGGAAGTTTGATTGTTTGTAAAACTTTATTTATTCAACTTTATCCTTTTCTTTTAACATGATTAACGTTGTAGAGCCAGACAAATATTGTTAAGGACTTCCAAATCAAAAAAAAGTTTTATTCCATAGGAGACTTAATTGATTGTGAAACTTTCCATTTCAAAGCTTAATGTGAGCTTTTCCGAAGAAGGCTTGATATCATGACATTTTAACTAAAGTTTACTTTTTTTTTTTTTAATGATTCACGTTGTAGAGCATGAATTTTGTTTCCACGTTCAGCCAAAGATTGTTGCAAGGATCTTTACGAGTTTTATTCAAATAATAATGGGAACTTTCACGAGAATCATATGAAATATCAACTAAGGTTCAGTTTTTTAATGATTCAAGTTGGAGAGCATGGATTGTATTATGTTTAGGGGGTTAAAACAAACTGAAACGTGAAAGAACAAAATACAATTTAATTATCTCAAAAAATTCAGTGAAATAAAAAGTTGACAAGAATAATATTAATATTAAATAAAGATAACTTAACAAAAGAATTGACGGAACCTTCCTTTATACAGCAGGGATTAAAAAAGAGGGAAAATTTTCTTTCTGATTTACAGGGCTATTCGTATATATATAAAATATATATTTATAGCAACTGTACTGTATCCACATTATAGGATGAATGCGAGGCAGCAAGTAGTGATGCTCCAATGCCCGATCCATCTTCAGTGACCTTGAGAATTACATGGTTGGCAATATCTTCCCCCAATATTTCGTTCAAAGCTTCATGCAAGTACTCCCTAAACAATGTATAGCTAGAATATAAAGCTCCTTCAATTGCCACAACTGTTCTTCTCATTTTCATATCACTTCTACGTCCACCTGTGATGCCACCACTGCCATCCCTACCAATCTTCTTCAAGATACCAACAATACCGGCAGCTGCCAATCGCGCAGCTCGGCGAGTCACCGCATCACACACCTTCACCACAACTTTTCTTACCTTCAAAGGAATGTCAGGAATCTGAGACAGACCAAACGTTTGATGAATGCTTATTAGACTCATTTAAGGACATTTAAGACCAAAGGTATGATGTCTAACTTGTTTACCTCAAGAATGTCTTTAAGCATTCTTGCCACTTCTCTCAAGTCAGGAGAATCATCCTCGTGCATGGCAGCCATCATAGGAGTCCTGAAATTGCACAAGGATAATAGATTATCTGATTAACCATGTATTAGGCACTAGAATTGGGGATATAAATAAATGAAATCCTAACAAATAATGCAAAATCACAATTCAGCAGAGTTGATCAAACAATGATGGATGATCATATCAGTGTTGAATAATATAGTCATTCATTCATGTTCAATGGTTAGTCTGTCTATATATTCAGCACATGACTGAGATTAGAGTACACACCTCAGTATGAAAGGCATTAAGAGTTTGGAAGAAATAGGTCCAAACATATCTGATTCTAGCAACATCCTGAGAATGACTCTCCTCACGATATCACCAAGATACATTCCTGATATCATTTTCTCAAAAGCCTACATCAAAATCTCCAAAATCTGAGTCATCTTAAATCAAGCAACAGGATTCATGAGAAGCAGAACTCAACCTGTTCATTTGGATTAGGGCTTTCAGAGTCTAAATCAATATCATAAGCTGTTCTCGGTAAGTGAGATGACCAAAAATTTCCCCACTCCATATTTACAACCTAATTAAACAGGAATCACAATAAGCTCAAAACAATAGATGATAAACCAAAGTGGGGGAAAAAGAGGAATACCATGCATTCCGATGTTGTAAGAAGACCTTGACACTTGATAATAGCATCAACCCGTTCCAAATAGCAGGCATTGGTACCAGTGCCAATTATTACAGCAGCAACAGTATCTGAATCATGATAATGTCCAAGAGCTAATGTTCCAACAGAGTCATTAACCTGATTAAAATGCACACAAAAATCATTTTTTAAGTAATATAATGAAAGAAAAAGGGTTTATTTTACATGACAGTACACACTGTTTCCCCATATGCAATTAGGGACTTAAAAAATTACGTACTCTTACAGCACTAGGTGTTTTGAAATAGATTTTGTTAATTCCATAGAAAAAAGTGAATACAACTATAGGAAGCAGTACCCATAAAGACAATAACCACATTGGTATGCAATGCAAGAATATATAGTTGTCTTGTATAAGTCATGCTGGAAAAAGTCAGTAAAATTTCAAGAGTGGCCAGCATAAAGATTACATAATGTGAAAGTTTGCAAAATTCATACATTCAATAAGAACATAAAGTATATAACAGAACAATCTAATTTATTAAAGGAAAGAGTGATATGGAAAATTGACCCGCTTGCATTGCAATGAAAAGAAAAGATAGAAACATAAAGTTTGGTGGTAACAATGTGGAAAAAAACGGAAAGTGAATCATGACCACAGGACAAAGAAAGAACTTCCTTACCAAGGCAGCCACCTGCATGTCTAGTCCTTTTCGAGTCAATGCTTCCTGCAAACATGCAGGAACATCTGTTCCTACCTGACAACATATAGTTTTTGCACTTAATATTTATTATACTATTCAAATATAACGTGACTGCTACTGAAAGACCAAATGCAACTTTGATAACTTTTTTCTAGAGGGAAATGTAAATACACAAATAATCATTTTTGAAGAGTAATTGAGAGTTAAAATGAAAAATCAGTAATTAATTGCCGCCACTAAATAATTGCAAGAAAAAGAATAAAAACTAAACAAAATACAAATTCAGATCAGACTCCCTCTCCCCCACCTAAATATGCACAAACCACCATCAAAGTTAGCAATCAAGTTCTAACATGAACTTAACAACAAATGATTCCTTTCACAAGATCCCTATGAATATAAGCTTTTCATACTGAAATTGCTTGAAAGCTAGCTGACTAACCATATCTACAATGGAAAACCCTTCTGTCCACTTTACTAAAATGCCTGAGGAAACAGAGATTTGTTTCACAGGGAAAGAAAATGTAAATCCAAGTTCCCTACTTCTGTCCAGTGAAAGCTCAGAATCATCTCCTTCTTTCTGAACAAAGTCCTTTAGTGATGAAGCAATGAAATCAAAGAGATCCTGCAAGGAGCAAAATCAATAACATTCAACTATGCTAAAGAGCCACAAAAGAAGCCATAGAACATGAAAATTGTAGAAGACTAGTTAAGTCACCTTGCTTGTGCTGGTCATTAAATGCTGAGGAATGGGCTGTTGCTCTACCTCATATTCCAAGACAGAAGATTGTTGACCACTTAAATGAACCCGCAAAACCCTAAAATTTGTAACCCCAAGATCTAGTGCATAATATGTTCCTCTCTCAGTCCTGACCAAAGAATAATATACAATCCATCCAAGCATTAACATGTGAATGCAAACAAATCTACTCATCAACTCAATTGATTCTTTAATCAGTTAAATGTTATGCTCATGCACATTGATAAGATATAAACATCACGTTCTCTAACTAAAG